AAAAAAAAAAAAAAGATGAGTGTAAGACCACTAATCTTTGCACTGGTCTACTCCAGTAAAGTAAAACTTTAACTGGAGGAGAAAAGTTCATTGAATTAATGCCGGCATTGATTCCAGCTGTAGCACCTGCATTCCCCTCTCAATGCTGTAAGGGGGAGGGCCCCGAGGCTGAGCATTTTGAAGTTTTCCCCAATATTTGTCCTTCCAGCTGACATCTTTGCCCATTGCGTTTGTTTGCTTGCTGTGTGTGGATACCCAGGCATTTACAAGCACCGTTTCTTTGCATTGTGGTTAAATGCCTCCATGCCGGGAGGCATGGGTAGGATTAGACAATTAACAGGCTGCTCCAAGAATCGGAAAACAAATGAGACCCCTGACCCAATATCCCAAACTGAAACCCTTGGGCACTGTGAAACTCCTGGCCAGGACCGACGTCCCCCTCCGCGATTCCCATCCCATTGCAGGTGCCCGGCCGAGGGAGGATGCTGATTTTCCCCCCCTACTCTTCCCAGCCTACCGCGGGCAGTTTGAGGGGGCAGAGACCATCTACGTACCGAAAAGAGAGGGCAGGGTGGCTTTTCAGTGGCTTGTAGCCTGTCGTGTCCTCCCTGCTACTGCTGACCGAGCAGAACCCTCCCTTAATCCGGCATCCCAGGGAGGGGGTGCAGAGCGGCTTGGGCGCTGCAGGGAGGCACGGGTGAGCATCAGGCACCTCGCCAGGAGCGGTCCGGCGACTTCCATGGAAACCTTGGATGCCAAAGCCTGGAAGCCCCATGGCCACCAGCCTCCCTTGGCCAGGTCTGCTGGCAAAAGGCGTGAAGACATGCCGGGGTTCTCCCATCCCTTCCCAGCCCCTCTTACCCTCCCTGCTGGGCTGGGTGCTGGGACTGGGTGCCTGGGGCTGTACCTCTTGTGTACGGCCCCCAGCTGGGCTGCAATACCCTCCTCCAGAGCCTTGCCCCCAGGCAGTTTGCACACATATTTAGCTCTCAGTGACACTAACAGATTTAAGCCCCTGGTTTTTTTTATGAACAGGGGTCTGGATGTGGATGTGCTGATGAGCAGAGGCCAGCTCGAGGCTCAGGGATGGGACCGGTCGGTGTGTAAATCTGCCTCCCGCTGCAGTCACGTCCCAAAGGGGCTGTCAGAGCATCACACCTCGCCTGTTACCTTGGAAAACCGAAGCGCAACGTTTCTACGTGGTAGAGCACCGGACCCAACTCCACCAGGGTGAATAGCAGCCCGTCAAACCTCTTGCACGTTTGACGGCCGGTTGTGGGACCGCAGACCGTGCAGGTATCAGCGCGGTGCAGCTCAGGAGCGATGCTGAGCCGTCCCGTGGCTGGCGAGCCTCGCCGGGCAGCAGTTAAGTGATTTGACCGAGGGCACAGAGATGGAAGGGGCAAAGGGGAGGGGGCACCTTCCCTGCGGGGCCAGTCCTGCCATCCTCATCCTCGCCGCTGGGACCCCAGGTTTGCCCGCCTGGGGCTTGTTCCTGCTTTCTCTTGTCCGTGTTCAGATGATCCTTGAACAGGTCCGAGGGTGACAATGGGACCCTCGGGACCCCGTTTACCGCAGCCCAGGCACACCTCGTGCGCTCGCAGGAGCTGCTCCGGTCCCAGCCGCAGCAGCCCCGCGACTCCCCACCGGGCTGACGGCTGCTGAGCTGCTCAGCTCGTCACCCCTGTTCCGACCGACGCTGGGGAAAAAAGCGATACACAAAACCGTAGGAGGCTTCAGAATAATTAGGGGGGAAAAAAAAAAAATGATGGATGTTTGAAGGTGATGAGAGCGTTCGGTCAGCTCGGATGCTGCCTTGCGTGGAGACTGACCCCTTGTATGTGCGGAGCTTTCCTTGTCAGGGCAAATGGAGCAGCTCAGCCAGATAAGATTCATCCCACAGTTATTCAGGGAATGCGGTGTGATGCAGAGGTGGAACGTGCAGATGACAAATGTGGGTCTCCACACATGTGGCTGGGCACTGCCGTGGGTCCAGGTGACCCCAGACTGAGGGCATCACTGCCATTCCCAGGTAAAGTGCTGTAGAAATACCAATTTCACTATCTTCAGGACAGCAGCACACACCGCACCGCTGGTTAGCGCTTTGGCCAGTGCTGTAGGGTTTTGTGGCTTTTCTCCAGGGCTCCCAGTAAGAAGCTGCTCCACACTGCTCTCGTAGCTTCTCATTGCCCGAGTATGCAAAATAGGTAAATGCCAGGAATGCCAAGCAGCACCCAGCCCCTTACCCTGGGTGACTGCACCTTGTAGCATGAATCTTAACATTTCATGATGGGCATCATTTACATTATTTGCAAACAACAGTGCTTGCATTCTTGCTAATGCTGTATTTTAATAATAAAGTCTAAGAACTATGTATAATGTTACTGTTATGCAGAACTGCCATGCTTATCGCCTGCTGTATGTTGCGTCTACTGTAATTGGTGTTGTTGCTAAATCTAATGCTATGAGATAAAAGCAATGGGTTAGAGTTTATGGTTGGGCTTTGCTTTTGAACAATTAACCATGCTGTCACATCAGTGAAAGGAATTTAAAAGATTCCATAGACAGCTGGCTTTCTCTGCGGCTGGGGTAATTTGCACACCCACCTGTTTTACTGCCTTTGGGTCATTCAGAGGCAGCTTTGATGGTAAAAAAAAAAAAAAAAAAAAAAAAAGAAAGCATAAACCAAAACAAAAAGAAAAAAAAGGAAGATCTAGACCATAAGGTTGTGGCTCTCCAGGTACGAGCAGGCTGATGAGAGGCACATCAGAAGCAGGCTCGAAAAGAACACAATGTATGTTCATATTTTCTCTATATATGCACAGCAGCTGGGGCAGGCAGCAGCTCTGGGGCCACCTGCGGGACCGGGGTCAGCCTGACAAAACACATTTGAGAGGGAGAATTTGGTGCCTTTACAGCACAGCTGTAAAGATACCCGTGTGTCGGCCTTGTACCCTTCCAGCAAAAACTAGTGGCATTAAACCAGGGGGGTTTAATGGGGCCCGTCCCACCTCCCCAGCTCTGGGTGATGCAGCATCTCCCAGACAAGAAAAATTGGGAAGAAAACCCAGCAAACCTCTTTTGCGGTAGGTCGCAACAAGTAAGACGGGAAGCGAACGGATGCCGCAGGGGCACGGCGGTGGCGACGGGCATCCTACGCCTTGAACCGCATCCTTACTGCTGAGGACATCTCTGGTGGCTCTCCTTAGAGCAGCCGTGCCCCCGGACGGGTGGCTTATCGTCCTGGGGACAGGCACGGCATGGAGGTCCAGCCCACACCTTCAGGAACAGGCTGAATCCGCCCAAGTGATGTTCAGGTTGGCCCCAAGTACGGAGCAGCACCGCACAAATTGTTGCACGAGCAGCAACAGACCTGTGCAGGCTCAGGTCGAGGCAAGGAATTGCAGCATAACTTCAACCATTTCCAGCAACCAGCCCAGCGCCAGGGCCAGGGTCACCTTGAGCATCCCCTTTCTGTCTCAAAATAGGTAATACGATCGACCCCAAAACCATCGCACAAGAAAAAATGCCATCTGATAATCATTCTGAAACAGATTTGAAAACACATTCAATTCCCACAAGCAGCTGCTGCAGCCTTACCTCTGAGCATCCTTTACCTTGGGAATGGTACCCAGCATCTCCCCAGTGTCTGCAGTGTGCTGGGGGGGTAACCAGCGGCCTCGCGTGGCCTCGTGCCAGCTCTCGGGGCTTTTCTTTCATTTACCGTGGAGGGTACGACTCATCCCTGAAGTTCATGCAGTATTTCACAGCAACTCTGTAAATAATTGAATCTGCAACAGGCTCGAGTGACTCCTGCACACACAGACATGACTTCTCTTTTTCCTCCTGCAGCACTGCTCAGCTAAACAAGTAAGTTTTCCGCATAAAAACTCCCAGAAACAGGGTTTTAAAAGGAGCCCTGTGTTTTATTTCTTTAAACACCATAATTAAGTAGTTTCTGATAGCATTGATCAACCACAAGCGAATCAAAGCCAGGAATATTTGGAGGGGAAAGCATGTCTTTATAATAACCATGGGTTGATTTTGTAGAAGAGCAGAAGTTTTCACATGGCGATGGTCCATTGAGACATCCCTCGGCCGCTGCTCGCTGCCGGGCAGCATCTCAGGGGATCTGCCCCGTCCTCCCGCACTCATCCTGCCCAAACCCACCGCTTTCCCGAGACCCTCCAGTCAAAGGGCGTCATGCCAAGGAGCCCTGAAAAGCTGCTTTACCTCCATGACCTGCTCACGGTTAACACCCCAGGTTTTATTTACCAGAACATAAAAGGCATGGCTTGATGTTGAAGTTTTGTGTTTTATTGCGGTTGGCACCAGAAATGCGTTTGCTCTGTGGTATGTCCATATACACACTCTGTAGACAAGACTGCGTTAATATTGGTTTCTCATGACTTTTGTTTCAAATGACTCTAAGATTTTAAAAAATACATTCACAAACTACCTTATGTTTAAACACAACAATTCCCTTCTATTTCGTCACTGTGCCCCAAAATCCACAATATATAAAAAAAAAAAAAAAAAAAAAAAATCCAAAGCTGGGTATTCGTCACTTCAAGGGGGACACCCCCCCACCTCAAACAGTTACCAGTTTGCAACATAAGAAAAAGCTCTGGGCTTTCTTTTATTTATATTTTAACCACAGTGAAAATATAAAGAGCTGGTGGCAATCAGTATCCGTGACGGGACTCGTATGGGATTTTAATTCCCGTATTGTGGTCTTACGGACATCCCTACGCTCGGCAGGGTGCTCAGCCAGGCGCTGGGCAGGCTGCACCGGGTGCCGGGCGGGTGAAGGTCCCCACAAACCGCTTTTTGCCCGTGCTCCTCTGGACGCCGTGCCCTGCTGGGATTCCCACCGCGGCAATCCCTGCCGGTACCGAACCGAGACGCTCTGCCCGCCCGGGTACCGCAGGGCCTGTCCCGTCCCCGCCGCCCGCATCGCTTCTTACCCTCGATAAAGATTCCAGTTTGACCAAGTCCTGTGATTTAATCATTTTTTAATAAAGCCATCGTTACTGAGTACACCAAGATTGCCAGTTAAGCTCTCTATATGTCGCTGGAGGTAACAGAGCTGTGATCGACAGCGGAACGGAAAAAAAAAAAAAAAAAAAAAAAAAAAAAAAAAACCAAACCAAAAAACGAACCCCAACCGAAACGAGGTAGGTTAAAACCAGCAACACAGACCTTGTTATGCGACACCCCAACACCACAGGCGGCCATGCTTGCAGCTACTGAGAAAGAAAACCCCAGATACGCACCGAAAATGGAAATCAACTGAGCAGAGTTTATAAGGACACGATTCAACCTGAACTAAACACACACACACGGTTCGGCACAGATGTTCTCTTTCACTGTATGTTGGGTAATTCCTAGGGAGCGGAGGGGGCGGAAAACGAGAAGAGATTCAGACCCTCAGCCGAAGAAACCACACATATATATATTTTTTTTTAAGCTCTTTACAAGCCCAATCCAACAACGCGGGGGACGGGCAGCTCGTTTCACGGTCCCCGTCCCCGCACCGGTTGCCTCCGCACACCGGCGCCCGGCTCCGGGTTCGGGGGGGGGGGGGGGACGGGGGCCCAACACCCCCCCCGGCGTCGGCATCGGGGTCCGGCACCGGCGGCATCCTGAAAACCACCGTCCGCCTCGGGGCCGAGCGCGGGGCTCCTCCGACCGCTCCGCCGTCCTCTCCTCCTCCGATCCCCCCGTCCCAGCGCCCGCGGCCAAACCCCGGGGCAGGCGGGCACCTCCGGAGCAACAACAAATGGCACCTCTGTCCCTATCAAGACACACCATTATGTGAAGATCCATATAGAAATATGGATTGACAGACTTGACAAAAATGGTAGCTGATTTTTATTAGTCTAAGGCTAGTAGTTTAGCCATTTAAAATCCATTTCCCAAAAGAGGGGAAAAAAACCTATTATTTTTTCTCTTCTTTAAAAATCCGTTAAGCCGTTGCTGCCAAAAGCAACATGTAAATGTTGGTGAAGGCAAAAGATTTCTAAAATTACCCAGCTATATGGTTATGGCCTTCATCACAAAGATAAAAGGTACATTTATTGTGCTGTCTCTCACCAGATTTAATTGGTAACTTTACAACATACTATATATTTGATGCTAGCAGGCAGACAGAATTAAAAACAGACTTTTTGACACTGTTTCTTTCCCCGTTCTTACAAAGTAGGGGAGAAAGAAAAAGTAAAATTAAAAAAAAATAAAATAAAATAAAGGAAAACTCATAAACCACTATAACACAGCGTAATCAGGAGACCTCGGGGGGTCCAAGCGCGAAAGTCCATCCCTGCCCGCAGCCCCCGCCCCGGGGCTGACGGTGCCGGGGGAGCGTGGGGAGCGGTGTTCCTCGGCACCCTCCACATCTGCCTCTACAGTGTTAGTCCACGTGTTTAATGTCCTTTAAATTAGAAATAATGCCATGGCGGTGAGTGCCAAGTGCTCCTCTGTTACCAGTTCATCATGGAGTTTCTGTTGAGAGTCATGAAAAACACTTGGCTGCTTCCTCCGGATCTCACCGATGCAAAAAATACCTGTTTGGAAGCAAAAAAATACCTTCTTAATTATTTTTATTATTGCAAGAAAAAGCCTGTTAATTGTCTCGAGGAGCAAGGAAAGCAGGAGCTGCCCCACACCCTGTGGTTTCCCCTGCCTAAACCTCCCTCCCTGCTCCTTTTCTCCAGTTGACAGCAGAAATTTTACATGGATCCATTGCCTGGTTCTCAGTTTTCCACGGAGCTACGGGGCCGGAGCCAACCCACGCCAGGCTCCGATCAAATTGAACCACTTATTAGTAAACACAGTAATAAAACCTCCCTCGCTGCCACTACCAAAGAGAGCAAGGTTTGGAACACCTTAAAAATACCAAGTTTATCACATTTCACTGCCACGGCATCATTTATTATGCAACATTAATACGATTGCTGTCAGTGGTTTGGATCTTGCAAAACGTTAACCATTTCAGTCAACATCTGCCTCGGTTTGAAATGGTTTTCTCCAGAAAAGTTAGTTCTGGTATTTCAGCTGTTCCTGAAAGTAAAGCTCGGGAAAACTACTTTCCTTCAATATGCTCAAAGCACAGAAACCTATCAGGAATATGAAGAATATGATTTTTGGTTCTTCTGGCAGGATCCACCAGCATTTGACCCCAACGGAAGTCTTAAAAAATAAGTTATAATTTGCAAGTGTTGAAGAGGACAATCTGAAGCCTCTGTCCTTTTTAAAACCAAAAATTATTCAAACTTCACATGACTTTCATCGTTAACCATTTCTCCAGAAAGAGAAACATCTGGTTTTAGGATTTCAAACCCACCAACGACCAGTTGGTTCCAGTATTTCAGAAAGATTTAGGTGGGTTTTTTTCCAGTTTTCTTAGAAAAGGCAAAAAAATATCAATAGGAGCAAACCAGAAAAAGAACTCATTAAAAACCAGTATAAAACCTGCAGTCAAGTACTCAAAAGTTAGGAAAAAAGCAAACTGGGGGTATTTGGGCAACTTAAATTCAGCTTCATGGGCAGCATCCCATGGTATGAGCTCCAGCCTAACTCTATGCAACAGGTGGGGTAATGCTTGACTAATGAGCAGCTGGTCAATAAACTGATGGTGCCCTCAAACCTTATTTATTGGATGTTATTAAACCCTGCTCTGGGGACAGAGCAATCACTTTCTTCACCTGTTTTGTGATCATGATCATTATGAAAGAACTCCCTGCTGCATGGTCCTGATTTATCTCAGTGAAGCCTTGTGAGATGAGGAAATACCAATAGCAGAAACAGATCTCGCCATTCAACCATCTCTTCCATGCGAATATTCCTTTTTCCTCCAGCAATTTCTCCTTCCCTCATTCCCTGCACCCCCTACCCTTCAGCAACACCCGCAGCGGGGGTCATCTACGTGACAACCGCATTCCCCAAGCAACTCTGGTGACCCTCTAGAGCGGTATTTATCAGTGCTGTCCACAGAAAAAGATGGGGCTCCATGGAGATAATAGTGTAAGATGCATCAAAATGCATCTAGAAATGCATCAAAATGTTTCTGCACCGGAGCAAAAATCAGGGTCACTTACATATCCTTACCACTACCATTTCTCAGCTTTTGCAGAGGTCACTTGGCAGCCCCAATAGTTAACGTTCAGATGCAAGACTTGGGTGAAAGTCAAGCCAAGTCAACACAGATGGCAGCTAGAGGTGGAAGAGATCTTGCAGACCTTCCCACCACAGGCTGAGGTCTGCATCCGCTGGAGAGAATTAATTGGGAGCGGATTTATGGGCACCGCTTATCAAATAGGACCTTCAGATTAATTACTAACCCCAAGATAAACCAGATTTAAAGTCTAAAAGTAGCTTGTAGCTTAAAGCACAGACACAAGCTTTGAAGTGGACTTACCTTATCATTTCTTTCACATAGAAACTTTAACCTTTGAGCTCGCTTGTGCATAAATACTCCATCCAAATGTCCCGTCTCCACTGACCGAATTTCAATAGCTTTCTCTCCCCAGCCCATTATTTGATTGGAATGAATGTAGGCTGTCAAAAGGAAGCATTTGGTAGGTGTTACAACGTGTGTTGAGCTAAATATTATGCAACGGGCAGAAAAGCTCTCATCGGCTGTTACTCAAAGCTGATGAAGGTCAATGGCAGAGCTCTGACTGCTGGAGGCACAGGCAGTCAGGCGTGTGCCCGTGGGGATAGTATCTTTACGGAGCACTTTTCATCCAGAAATAGCTGAGTAATTTAAACAGAAGAAGTATCACTTCTTCCGATTTCTGCGGGTGAGGAGCTGGGCAGTTGCCTCCATGGGTCATGGAGCTGAGCAACAGCAGAGCCAGAAGAGCAACAACCCAAGGGCTCCCAGCTCTGCGCCCAGCCCCTCTTCCAGGCAACACAGCATCCCACCAGTGCAACGGCTTATATTAGCTTATACTTAAGATAAACCAGAGCTCAAATCTTCAAGAAGTCACTTGCTTTTATTACGGAGGACCAAACTGTAGAAATTTAGCAACTGCATCTCTTATCTGGCTGAAAGAAATCTGCTTTCATAAACAAAAGCCCAGATGACTCCATCTCAGCATTCTCGACTCCTCATCTTACTTGTCACTTGTCTTTTAAGCAAGTGAAGAGGAATGGTTGACCTACCCACAGAAGTAGGCATTTCTCCCCACTGGAGCACCACATCTTTAGTTATCCGTCCATAGGTGTTCACATATACGCCTTCATCCTCATAGCACACAAGCATCTCCATCCCGTCTGTTTTAGGCAGGATGACAATGGCGTGAGGAGTAATATTGCCCTGAATCTGCAGTTAAAATAAACCCTAGAAGTCAGAATTACATTGAATGGAGGAAAGGGTAGGGGGAAAGGAGCAGAGCCTTAGGAAAACAAAACCCCAAACCAACCCGAGAACAAAACCCTCCCCCCATTCACCAAACAGGCATTGGCTTTCAGAGATAAGCTTGAAGGGGAATAAACTGTCATGTTTACCCTACCATCAAAGCTGTCTGATACGTCAAGGATAAACAGGTTCAGCAATTATAGAGAGATCACAACATATACGCCCCCAAGACTGATGGCTGACACTCGGCTGTAACACAAATAAGCAGCTGCTGACTTGATGAATCCATCTCCTATTCAAATTAAGGCAAATAAACCCAGAATTTTACAGGTAGCCCTAGGGAGGAAATATTCCCATTTTTTAGCAATCAGTCTCTAGCTCCAAGGGCAGCTACAGCGACTTTCCACCCATGTCTGCCCTTCCATAGCTAAGACAACACAAAACCAGCCCAAACTGCCCCCATATTTCTCCCTATGCTTCTTTCCAGCTTTCGCAGAGGAGGCTCTGCTGGTCGGATCAGATTCAGCAGTTCCTGGATTTGATCAGTGACACAGTTTCTCCTAGACCAGTCTCTCATACTGCTTGGGCCAACAGCACGGACAGAGCTTAAATGAGCCAACAAGAAAATCCTCATCTACAGTATTTTTTGTAGCACTTGAAAAAGCTGATGGACCTGGGAGAGGTCCTGTGGTGAGTCCAGGCTGGCAGGGGGTTTGGGAGTTTTGAACAGCAGGATTCCTGAGATTTGGGCTACCCTAGTCCTGCAATCTTCACCGGGGCAAACGGTGCTGCCCCAGCAGGAACAAGCATTGGTAAGCACATCTGGGACACCATGCAATGGGACGGGGCACTGGGCATCCAGCTCTTGGTGGGTCTACATTTTCCAACAACCAAGAACCTGGTTTCATGGTATCTTGCCCTACAGAGACCTTCATCACTGCTCCATGCAATGTACAGACAGATTCTCCTTTCTGTGGGACACGGCGGCCTTAAGCCTGACTGCTTGGGCACAAGGACAGAAAAAGCCTCTGCGAATAATGAACATGGAGTATGTGATACCTCCGAGTCCTCTTTAAGCCAGTACCAATGAAGATGGCACCAAAGAATGTCATACCCATGGCAAGATGTCACCTGACTGGTCACCATTCCTGAGCCACCAGGAGCCTGCCCAAACCTTGCTGGTGACCTGCGTTAGTCATGCAGCAGCACTCCCCCGTGTACTCACGTGAGATGGTATATAGATATCATAAGAGTTCCCAGAATCTACATCAATCACATGGAAACCAGTGTGTGATCCAAAGATAACCTTGAGTCTCTGACCCTCTTCTACAGTCAGATCCACGAGCAACGGCTTGTGCTGGAGATCTGCAAAAGACTTTTATAATCCCTTCGGTGAGTATCACAGAAAACCAACAAATCCCCATAGCAGCAGCCCGATACGGTTTTGAAATCGTATTTGTTTGACTGTGTTTCCTACTAAATATGTGGTTAGTTATATTCCCGTCCCTCTGTTCCTATGTCAGATGCCTCAGAGGGTATTACCCACTCGCTCCAGCCATCCCAGCAGATAAGCGCTCACCCTTGCCAAGCACAGCTCTTTTCCCCCAGGAGCCTGAGGCCAGCCCGAGGATTGGGTCTCTAAAGGAAGGCAACAGCTCAATTTTACACGAGTGTGCATACAGCCAGCACATGGGGACCCTTGATGCCAGTGCTGCTCTGGGCAACAAGAGCAAAGTCTGCAGAGAGCTGTGACCACCCACCTCCACTCTCGGCAGGGATCACAGCTCCTGTTTGGGCGGCTGAAATGAGTCAGATTAGCAAAGACCTACTTTTCTCTGTTCAATCTAATCTGCTGGATGCAGGCTGGGACCAGCTCCCTGGCATGGACCGATCCAGGACAGAGTATCTCTCCATGGCTTAGGTCCTCAGCAGGAGGGTGAAACACCCACAGGGAGAGAAAAGGACTCCTGGCTCTCTGTGCGAGGACCACTCTGACTCCTGGCAGGGAAAATCTGTGGGTGGTATTTCCCACTCTGCCAACAGATCCCTGCCTACAAGGCAAGGAAAGGATGCTCAGCCCCCCCAAGCTGGAGAAGGAGCACCGGGAGCACCAACCAGCATCCTCACCAGTGCCCGCAGAGGCTGGATCCCAGGCCATTTTAATGCTGCTGAGCTCTCCATGTCACTGAGCCCGTTTATTCTGGCTTTTGTTCAGAAAAAGCAAATGTGACCTAATACTGAATAAGCCCATTTGTGCTGGAAGGATGCAAAATGAGATTACTCAGCATGAACGTCTCCAGAAGACATTGGCCCTTGTGACTTGTCTCTGCACAGAGCTTCGGATGAAAAGTGCTTTAAAGGACTGAGTACAAAATACCCATTGGCAGGTTATAGAGGAGAAAGGTCTCACTGAAGGAAACTGAGGTAGATGAAAAGGGAGAGAAAAAGAAAGAGTGGGTCATTCTCCTGGACTTTCTGCCTTGAAACAGAATCCACACTGCAGAAGGGGAGAGGACCTTGCAAAATCAAAATGGAAAATAATGCCAACCCGTTTTCATGTTTTATGTGAAGAATTAGTCACAGGTTAAAAAAACAGAAAATCAAACCCAAAACCCACCAAAAACCCCAACTCAATTTTACTCATGGGCGTTTGGTCAGCCTTCTACAAACTTCCCAAGTAAAGCCTGCCAGCATAAGCTAGTATTAACACTTAACTGTTAGCCTGTATCCCATCTCTTCAGCCAGAATGTATCCCTTCTCCCATGCCTGCCAAGCATCCCAAGGAGCTCAGCTACATAAGCAAGACAATTTTCTGCTCTGCATAGTACAGAAATCTTGTGTATTTACAATTACAGAGTGTATTTTGGTTAAAAGATAAACATACCTTAAATGCCATAAACTTGTGATATGGTTTAGGAGCCCAAGCGTAGATCTCTACAGCATTCTTTAAGGCAATCACCAAAAACTTGATTCTTTCATACTTCACTAAAATGAAAATAAAACCTGTTTTAAAAACATTCACTTTCTTTCCAACAAGACTGAACAACTCATCTCCAGGAACAGCTTCTGAGGCTGTCTCTCTGTTGGTTCCCATTTGGTAAAGTGTCCACCTAATACATACAGATGAATTCCAAATTTATTTTTGGCTACGGTCTAGCCATACTTTTAAGAGAAATTGTCAGGTCAGATCTAAGACTAGAGAACAGACATGTCTTCAGACTTTTTTTTTTCCAGAGAGGCCACCCACCGACTTTGTAGTGGATGCATCCCTCCAGGTCTCCGACTGTGATCCAGCCCTGCTTCTTCTCTACTTCAGGGTCATTGTGTAAAATCCTGTTTCTCAGCCAGGAGAGATAGTACACGCGCAGCTTGTTCTTCTTTCCTGTTGGCAAAGGAAACTTCCCTGTCAGAGCAGAGCACGTGTGCATGGGAAATCTTGATTTCAGTGCTTATTTCCACTCACAAGATGATAAAATTAAAGTTAGCTTCTCAATGAAGTTGAAAATAGTAATTTAGTTGTTGTATTGGGTTTTTTTCTTGGGAAAAAAAACTATGAAAAGCAGAGCCCAGACCTCTGTCTCCCAGACTGCAGGCAGATACTGGAAGAGCCGGGCTCTTGCTTCCCACAGGCTGGAAATGTTCCTTTTCCTATAAATCAGTGTTCATGGAGAGACAGTCGGGCACAGCAGAGCCGTGACCCCAAGCTCTCTTACAGCTCAGGGCTTACCCAACCTGGTTTCTTTCCTCTCTTCTCCTTCATACAACATTAATTCCACCTTGGAGCTGAGACACGAGCTCGGTCTGTGACAGGCACCGCTATTTGCCGACAAGCCCGGTGCTGGGCTCTGCAATGCTGAGGGTCTGCCAAATTTCTGCACGCCTGTCTGCTCTTGGATGGCTGTGATCTGGCTACAAACCTCCCTGCTGCTGCAAAGCCACCACTACAGGGAGAGGACACAGCTTGACTCGAGTCCGGTGGGAGAGGAGCCAAGCCATAAACCAGGGGCTCTGCCTGCCCATGGGTTTCCACAGGTCCCTGGGGCTCGTTCTCAGCTCCGTCTTGGGGGCCGGTGCTCTGAGTGCTAGCCCCCCATTCATCTTCCAGCTGTACTAAACCCCTTATTCCTACAGCTGTATCCCCAAAACCCCAGGGGAGCTGCAGACCAAGGTAAATGATGGAGCAGAGGTTTTGAAGAGCTCTATCTGAATGGAATGGGAATTTGTGGGCGAATGCAGAATGAGCCCAGAGGGGTGTTGAACAACATGAAAGTAAACAGAAGGATGATATCAAGCAATTTTCCTAACGAGCATTTCTCTTGCTGTCCTCTGTGAGCTTTGCAGGGCAGGTATTGGCAGGAGGAGGTTCTGCCTTGGCTCTGCCACCCATCTGCTTCACGGGGCTGCTTTGCAGGGGGGATGCTGGGTGCTCTCCTGGGAGACTGGACTACAGAGTTTTTGCTTTTTTTTTGCCAGAAATCACCCCAGGAGCCTGATTTCAGAGCTGTGGAGCTCCCAGCTGAACCCAGGGACAGTGACAAGCCTGTGGCCCTCATGATGCTCGGGGCACCCTGAGCACACCATGGTCTGAGCTGGAGACCTGAAGCCACGGTTCATGGCTCCCTTGGCTAGAGCCAAAGAGACCCAAAAGCAGAACTCGCTGCCCCCTCAGGCCATGACTACCTGCCTTGCTGGGGAATCTGCCTGTATCCTGCACCTTCCCTTCCCTGCTAAACTAAAGATGAAGCGGAGCTCTTGGAGACATTCTTGCAGAGCTGATGCCTTCGATTCTGGAATAAACCACCTCCCGCTCCCCTGGGAGCTTCCCTCTGACACCGGTGGGCAGGTTTTGTCCGAGCTGGAACTGCTCGGGGCGTACGACCGAGAAGGTGAACACTGGGGCGAGAGCACAAGAGGCGTACCTGATATTGTCACGAGGACATTAAGGCCCTCGAGTACGTCCATCTGTTGAAATCGCCGTCTGTTGATGAGGTTGTAGACCTTCCCTTGCCCGCTTCGATCCAGCAGCATCAGACCATTTTCTGTGCCCACCAGCAGATTGACACCTGAAGAGGAGAGGGCAATGGGCACCAGGAGCCACGGCTGCTCCCGGGGACGACAGCCTGAGCTCGTCTCTGCCACCACCGCGATAGTGACCGATCCCAGCTAAGGCTGTGATCTTCCTACAAACGCCAAGGGTCACTCGTACAGCGCAGGGACTTGGGGACATTAGCCTTGCCCGGGACGGAGAAGGGGACAACCAGAGGCAGGGGCTCGGTTCTGCGATGACACGTTTGCGTTTCATCCCCAGCCGCACACTCCGGGGAGCTTTGCTGAGGGCACGGCGTGCTCAGGGCTTACCCCATAAAGCAGCACAGAGTATCTCCGAGTTGAAGCGCTTCTTGTATTTCCGTATCTCCGGGGTGTCGCTGTGGGGACGGATGTTGGTGGGGTTGACGTTCACCACCGAGATCTTCCGGGCTTCGTTCAGCTTGGCCTGCTCCTGTCTGAGCAGCTCACTGGTGAACAGGGCTTGCAAGGAAACACAAGACACGGAGGTGTGATGGATTAACTCTTCTGGCACCTCTTTTTTGGGACAGGAAGACGATACGTGGTTTATTTCCTGATGGGGGAGTCATCACAATGTTACAAGCTACTAGTCTGGAGAGGGATCATCAGGATTTTCTCATGGGTTGGAACCAACACCAAACCCATCAGCAGGTGATGTTCCCAGACCTCCAGCCCTGCCTACCAAGCTGGCCAGCACTATTCGCTGCCCGCCTGCCTGCATCCGACCATTTTCAATGACTTCAGAGCAACAGCCAGCTTGTTGGAGCAATTACCACCTCCCAGTTCTGCCAGGAACATTTCTTCCAGCTGCCCAGGCAGACGGGTGGGTGGATTTCTGCTGCTTCCCGTTTTCTCCCAGACCTTTCTGGTGACATTTCGTTAGTGGGACAGAAGACGTTGGATGGAAACGGGAGAGCACAAGGATGCAGACATGAGCTATGTTTGGACAAGAGTAAGTGAAATGTGAAAGAGGTTCAGTGGCATTATTCAGGCTCCATGACCTGGTTTCCACGAGGCCCTCCCCTCTCAAACTGGCCACATTGCCTACCAGTAGCAGACGACTCTTCATCCTCATCTTCATCTTCATCAGTAGGCGAGGTCTGATACACTCTGGTGTCCACAAAGGGAGTGAAAGAGGCTTTGGTGCTACTTCCCATACCATACTGGAAAACAAACAGCAAAGAGAGAGCTCAGAGCACAGAAATAACAATAATTCTGTGTACGTGTGTGTATGTGAGACTTTCTAATCAGCAGATGCAGTGCCTGCCCCTGCGGTGCCCTTTTCGAGCCTTATATGAACATCTGCTTCTCCTCCCACATAACTAATCAGGAAAAACATTAAATTGGATTTGTGAGTGTCCATGAGCAACAGAAAACGAGAGGAGCAGGACCCGCTCTGCTCTCTTCTCTCAGGCAGAAGCACAGCACAGCCATGAGACCAGTTAGCGGAGAAGCCGCAGGGCCAGAGGCAAAAGTTGATGCAGGTAAAAACCAACTTGTCTGCATGTAACACACCTGCCTTTAAAAGCCCGCTCTGGGATGTCAGGGCAGCGAGGATTTGCTTTTTCCCCTCTCCCACCGTGCAGGCAAGGTTGGCAGGATGGTGCTGGGAGCCCCTGGAAAGCCCTGGCATGGGGCAAGCTGACACGGACCAGTGACCACCAGAGTAATTCAGAGAGCTGGAAAAGGTGGGACTGTTGCTTTCCTCGTGCCAAAGCCAAACGCTAACTAGCATGGTCTGGGCAAAGATTTTACTCCAACAGGTCATGGAAATCTATTTGAGGACCTGTAAAGCTTAGGCAGGAGAGCTCGTACAGCTGTAATACTGCTCTGCTTTTACTGCCTGTTATCTAGGGATTTGCTGGGCTAAGCCCAAAATATTGATCCCCCTGGAAAGTAGGAAAAGTCAGCTCTCTAGCAAAACACCTATTTTTCGTTCTGCTGGGCTGTTATTGCTGGTCCTCACACCTATAGCTGAGGCAGGACCCAGCAATGCCCCTCAGTTCGCCTGGCTGCTCCAGTTTTGGGAGGATCTGAAGTGCTGGAGGTGGAGAAAGCCTGGGGTAAGCAAGCTGTGCGGTGCTTTAGGGACAGCTTTTAAACAGGGGGTGTTTGAAAATGCATTGGACACTTGTCAGAAGACGGCATCCCTGACATTGCTCCATTCCCCTACAAAGTCTGGTCTTCAGCACATCTCATGCGGACAACACGTACGGTCGCTTGCAATTTCAATGAAGTGTTTTAAATTGTCTACAGCATTTCAGGTGAGACTGCAGAAAGGGCCATTTCTAAGCTAACAAAACTTAACCTGAAGGTATCGCAGGAAATGTCAGAGCCAAGACTCTGCCAAGGGAATTTGGGGAGGAACAAACTGCAACATCACATTGCTTTCTTTTTAAAGCCATTGCTTAGTTAAGGCAGAAAACGAGGCTAAGACCTTCTCCCAAGCAAAAGGAAATTCTTGCCTTGGGATTCAAAGCGGAGTAATTTTCCCCCCTTGTTCAGCAGCTTATTTTTCCTACTCCAGTATTTACCCAGGATACGCTTTATGTATGAGCTCCGTTGAGAGCTGCAACAGCAGCAAACCCCAAGTCACTCTGCAGCAGCACTACCGCTCGCATTTTTCTTCGTCAGGACATTCTCCCTCCCTGGAATAAATCTTCCTCAGCTTTCATGGCACCGAGTCACCAAAGCCCAGGCTATTCCCCATGCCCAACGCCACCGCCGCAGCCCCCGTGCCGAAACATGCCATGAGGACAAGCCCGTGCCGCTGGAAGCTGTACCAAAGCTGGGCTGGGCTCGTACGTGTCCTCCAGCGAGCCACAAAAAGATTTAGGGGCAAAAAACCATTGGGTATGAGACCCACCCTCGTGGCTTGGGGCACTCCAAGCATTTTGGGGCTGGCATCCACGGGTGAGCTGGCATCCATGCCCTGCGCCTGCCAAAAGCGCGCTGCGCATCCCGCTTCCCTCCTGTCTCCCTTCCCCTGACAGCCTGCCTGTTTCCATAGAAACGGGATGGATTTCCAAAAAGTACATGGTAACTGAGACCCATGGAAGGAGTTAACAGCCTGCGGCAGGGAAGGCTGCAGGAACAGACATCGCATTTACATACACAGTAGGGCCATATTTGTGTGCGCATGTAAGAGATCCTCGCTACTTTGTGCTTCCTTCATATCCAAGAAATACACAGTTTTTTCCCTGTGCTGGATGTGTTTTCCAGAAAACACCAACAATTCAAGGAGGAGAAAAATTCAGTATTTACAGGGATGCTTTCCAGCTGAGAGCCAGGTGCTTTCCGACAAATGAATTACGACGAAACCCCTCATCGCAATGCACCCAGCATTTCTTTTCTTTGCTCAGATCCAGCTATTCTCCCCAGAAGCTGGCATTTTAGTAACTTCCAAGTCTGTTATTTGAATATTAAGACCTCATCTTCCTCCAGGCCTTGTTCTACTGCCTATAAACCTCTGTGGGGGCTTAACAGAGACAGCACCAAGCTGCAGGATGAGGTCGTGCTTGCTTCCTTCTTTTTGCTCGCAGAACCATGAGTCACCTGGAAGCCTGCGAACTAAATCCCCAAGTTTCCACTTACACCCACTCCTGGCTCAGTCAGCCCTAAAAATGCAGTTTTAGAAATGGAAAAGATCTTCTTGGTTGGTATTCTATAAATGAATATATTTAAACCCAATCCTTGCCCATGTTTAAGCAGTCCCAGGATGACCGTGGAAGGTGTTACTTTCAAGATCATCTCTCTCATCACCGCTTTTAAAGGCAACGAGGAAATGGATAAAACCTTGAGGTCAAGTCATGCACCATCTGTTCTTATGTTTTATCAATGCTCAACTCCAAGCAATTTTTATTTTTATACTGCTAGTAAAAAGTACACCATAAAATGAGTACCTCATTTCTATGAAAGAGAATACGATGACAGAACTTTTGATGTACAACCAACAAAATGAAAAGAAAAAAATTAAATAAAATAGCTTATTTAGCACCAAATGGGTTGATTTCTCATGGGAAAAGAGAACTGTGCCTGGTTCCCACAGCTGGTGATGGTAAGCAGGACACATCGATTCCCTTGACTTATGTGGCACATCTTGTACTTCCTAGGACTTTTTACACCTTATACAACGTTAACGTTCAATCGCATCCCTGTAAAACAGCTACCGAGGAGAAATACTTTGCCATGACAGGGAAGATGCAATTTTAAAGGTGTGCAGGTTTTTTCTAGTCTGAAGAACTATCCAGAATTTTGCTGGCTTTGATTTTTGCTAACCTTTGGAGTCACATTAAGTATCAGAGATTGCACAGGTGGAAGCTGGGCCCAGTTGAAGTTAATGGCATCACTGGCTCTCATAATTTTCTTGTATTTCCAAGTGTCAAAAAAAAGGGGCTTTCACATCTGTTGGCAGCGTTCAAGCCATCACCACCAAAACTCCAGCTGGTGGGCTTGAGGTAAGACCTAACAGACATTTCTACCATCAGCCATAGACCCATATAGCAAAAACCCATCAGATGCCCTTGTATTTCCACTACGCTCACCCGCGTGGACCAGAAACAGAGAGAGAGAGAGAGAGAGAAAAGAGCCAAGAAAGCCAGGGAGGAAAGCAGGAAAGCCCCTTTACGAGGCAGAGATGTTAATACTTGTTTAAAGCGATGCAAAGGAGAAAGAGGAGCCCCCCACCACCTACTTCAGGCACCGAGTCCATGTCCTGCGCATGCGTGGAGACTCGCCCCAGGGCCTCGGTCGGCGTGCCCGCCGGCGAGTGGCTTTGCTGCACCAGGTCAGGGAGATTGATGTGACCTGCAAAGCCATTGCTGGCTGCGTGGCCAGAACGCTTTTTTTCACCAGAGGTCTGCAGAGACACAAGGCATGAGGAAGAAAGAGAAGGGGGGAAAAAAAAAAAAAAAAGAGAAAAAAACCAAACAAAACCAAGTCGTTGGCAGTCCCCCAGTTCCCAGAGCAAGCGCAGGAGAAGGACCCTCTCTGTTTCCATCCCCATGCAATCTGGCAAGCAGCAAACCAACCCCACACCCCAGGAGAAACGAAGACAGGATTAATCACAAAGTCAATACAGAGTAATTAGCCACGTTACAGCAAGAGAAGCCTGATCACCGTCATTTTGAGACGAGGAACGTAGGGCAGATTCTGCTCTTGCCACCATGGGTGCAAACCCCATGGCCAGCTCTCTTCCCACAAAGCCACCGGTGACAGCAGAATCTGACCCCTCGATCAGCGTTAGCCTTAACGGCTTTGCACAGCTACGGCAGTGAGTAGCCTGACTGCAAATGCCAACACAGCCCCCGTTGCATGTTTCTGTAACCCAAAACAGCAGTGAACAGCGGCAGCGTTGGCAGAACATCGGCAGAACGACTGGCATCTCGCTCTGCATGCAAGGATCCCGGGACTCGCCCGGGGTTCCCCTTCCTCTCCATCCCCACCTCGTGCATGGCAGGTGCGGGGAAGTTTCTTCCTTCCCTGCTTATTGTTTTGAGATATTTGCCATTTTGATGAATCCCACCTACCTGGAGCACATCAATGAGATCGTTACAGAGACTTGCCCGTTTATTTGGATTAGTGGAAAACTCCCTCTAAACAGGCTCGCCGAGTTTCTGACCAGTCCTGACAACATTTATCTTTTGATCGCTCGTTACCATCACCTTCAACCACTTTGCCATCGCACCAAAGAGTGAAAAGCCCTTTGCCCAAAGCCGAATGACCTCAGCGAGTCCGTCCTCTGATGGCTACGGCAGTGGTGGGGAGCAAACAGTAAGCACCCAGCATGAGGCTGCAGTTTGGGCTTCTTATCACGCCCCCTCCTCCCAAAGGGGTTTCCCAGCTGCCTGTCTTGCCTGTGGCTTTTAAACCCTTCTACGTCACTGGTTTTCTCATACGGCCTCGCTGCCATGGCACGTGTTTTACAGTTGTGATGCTTAACGCCAAGCTCCTTTCAGAAATTGCTGCCTCTTACAGCAGTGACCGTTCTCCTGCTCAACTGCATCACCCTCCCTGCCACAAGGATGCGCAGAGGGCTGCCCAGCCTGCGGCGATCCCTGCTCGGAACAGCCCCGTGCCAGTGAGGGATGAGGTGGGCTGTGCATTGCTGCCCGCCTCCAAAACTCATGGAGAAAGGCAGCCAACACGCTGTGACTTCTTCTGCTAACTCCTCCCTCTCTTTCAAAGTTGCATTCTTTTTTCCCCCCCCTCATACGTGAATATTTTATATAAAAGGCATTAAGAATTAAAATGCTGCTCACATCTAGTTTGCATTTGATCTAAACATTCTTCCTTTATGATTGCTGACTCCAAACTCCCCTTCCTTCTTCTCCTCTCCCATCCACCTCCTTTACGTGCTGGCAGGAGAGTGACTCCCCTGTTTTACTAACTGCCAGAGCCTTCTGCCCCCTCCCCAGGAGACCTGCTACCCGTCTGTGTTTCCAGCAGCATCGCCAGCACGTTCCAGCAACCAGGAAACCGAGAAACGCTGGGGGAGATCTTCCACAGCCAACCCAACGTGCCTCCTCTGCCTCACTCCTGCAGTACCATCCATCAGGATTGCTCCCACCGCAGCCTTACCTCCGCAATGCCAGAGCTGGGGGCTTGCATCCATGTGGGATGCCCAGTGCCCCCAGCAGCCGGCTTGCTGGGCGAGCGCAGGGTGGCTGGCTGGTGGGGATGGGGGCTTGGCCCTCCCCGAGCAGGACCAGCCCCTGGTAAAAGCCTCCAAATGCTCTATAAACACTGCACGCCTCTGACAGTTACACGGTGGCAAAGGTTGGGAAGAAGAGGGGAAACTTTGGGCCAGGTTCCAAGTGTATTAACTATATGCTGTAAATTGAAGATAACTTGATCGCCCGGAGCTGTTGTGGGATTACGGCAGAGTTATTTGTACGAGCATCCTCCCCACCGTGCCCTGGCATTACTCTTCACTGCTGTTTGTAGTTCTGAGAAACATTTGCACTTGACACATTTGCTCCGAGCGTAAATTGTATTAACGAGAGCGCTAACGAGCACAATTTACTCAGTCATTTTGTGTTCCGGACACACAGCACTGTTAGTTTTTGTGCTTACATGGGCAAAACCTCCTGAAGATGCTCCATGGAAATATTTGTTTTACAACTTACCTCCCTCACCATTAAAGTCCCTTCCCTTGAAATATTGCTAAACGTATCTGCATGGGAAGTCTCTAGCCCGTGGGTTGTCACCATTCCCAGGTTGTACGGCTCATTGCTTCCAGGAATTCCTGTTGGTCTGAGGACAGAATGGAAAAGCGTTAATGATGAATACTTCCTTTGCTAAACTAGATGAAAAATCCTCTAATACAGTATTATTTCAATCAGGGGAAGGCTTTGTATCTCACAGGAAGAAAAATTAGAAAATATATCCATTTAAATGTATGGGAAAATTACTAATGTCAGAAATACAGGACCAGGGTCAGGTTGATACACTACAGATACAGCACAGAGACCAAAGAGAAGGGCCTTTCTCATCCCAAGGTGCCGTGAGAGGAGCACTGATGAACAGGTAACAAGGAGTTGCAGTCCTGCTCTGCCTTATGTCATTTTTTCTACTTAAGAAAGTTTAAAAGAAATAATTCACTCCCTTTATTCCCCATCTCAACCCCTGAAAAGGGAACAGTGCATCAGAGCACCCGATGACAAAAGACAACAAGGGAGGGGATGGGATTTGGAGGAGGCGTGGGCAGGAGTACAAGTTGTGTCCTGTAGCTCTCTGCTGTTTTCCAGATGAAAATGTAGCCCTAACCCATGATTTCACCTTGAGTTTATTTCTGCGCTCCTATCTCAAGAGAGAGGCTGGAATTTATTCTCCAACGCATTAAATTTTAGGACTGCCTGCGAGTGGATATCGCAGGTGGTGAGCAGCCACCATTACTTTATTATTACATTCTTAGAAGACCAGCTGCTTAAATATAATTCAAACAAAACCAAAAGCAAATGACAAAGTGCCTCTGGATTACCCTGCCCTGCCTGTGTGCTGGAAAATGCCGATGGTGGTTATGAAGATGTTGCCGATGAGACCTGTTGCTTTGCATTTAAAAGCCATGCAGACCAGTTGCTTTCCATCAGTATGAAGTAATTCACTTTTTAACATGTCATCCCTGTGCACACCTACTTGTCAATGCCCAGAGGCTCACGAGAGAGCCTGGTAGCATGAAAAACCAACGCAAACCTGCATTAATCAAGGGGGTTACTGGTCTAATACGAGATGTGAGCCCCGGGGAGCCCAAGGTGGGACTGGCTCGATGATGGATCCTCGCCTGCATCAACGTTATGACTGGACAGGCATCACCAAAGCACTCCAAACAACAAGCGGTGTGCCATACTTCTGTGGCACCTTTCATGTGAGGAGCTCACACCTTCCTACCGTTAGCTTTTCAACTCCACCAAAGGATGAGAAAATAACACAATTATTCCAGTTTTAGAAATAAGAAAGCAGAGGCAAAGGAGGTTATGTTAACTTTGAAACCGTACAGTGAATGAATGACCGGCTGTGGTAGCCCTAAGGTCCCGAATTTCATTGGCGCGCAGTTTCCATGTCACCCTGCAAGAAATCCTTGGACACGGGCAAGAGCTGGCTTGCACAACTCGGAAGACAGGGAGCTGAAGGGAGTCACCCTAGTCTTCAGATGGAGGAAAAGGTATCTGCAGAGGTGGAAGGAGTAAACGGTCCCTCCTGTCCACTGGGACACAAAGCAATGGATGGGCTTATCCCGCAGCAGGAGAGACCTGGACCGAGCTGGAATGAAGAGCAGCCCAGTGCTCAAGGAGGATGCCCAGGGAAGTTTAAAAATGGGTTATATAAAGATCAGTTGGAAGGTGCAGGAGAAGAGGAGATGATCTGTCTCGGCCCCAGTTTTTAGTGAAAACCACTGAACATAAGAAAAGTAAAGCTCTGATACAAAAATGCCCAACTCCATCTAGTCTGAACGCGAGTTAAGGTTCCTTTTGTGAAATAAGGGTGTAAAGCCAAGCATCTGCTTTCTTTTTCCCCAGACACACAGCAGTGCGGCCATGCCTGCAGATACCCGCGAAGGCTTAGATACAGACAGAGCTCCTGCCATCTCACTGTGACACCAAGGGCTGCATCTTTGCGTTCGGTCTCCGAGGCATGTTCATCAACAGGACGTTACAGGGCAAGTGGCGTTCGGCTGGCAGCGGGTTAAGGGCATCCACCTTACCGCCATGCCTGCTGTCCGGCACATCTGGCTGCAAAGCATTCGGTGAGGTATTTTATCCACTGAAAAGTGCTGTGTCAAACCCAAGGTGTTTGGTGGAAGGATGTCAGTGCAGATTAACCACTCCCGATTAAACTCCTCTTCTGCGAGCAGCCTGAGGCCCCTTCTTGCACGCGTGACTGCCCATCCAACCGCTGCATATTCATAGCCATCCCTCTGTCTCCTGACTTTCTCCAACAAATTCCAAGAGCTCTGATTTTTCTTCTTCTGCTGGGAGGAAGCTCCGACCCAGGAGCTTGGCACTCTGCGTAACATGGACCCCTTAGGTCTCCTAACCACCCAGAGGGCTTCTCTGCCGCTCCACACCCCACTGCTATGAAGCCCAGCTACCCCTCTATCGACTAATAATTCATTTAGCAGGAAGAACGGAAATGAACTGATCAAAATGCAAATAATCCCCTAAAGCCTTCCCATAACTCCTCTGTGAATTCAAAGGGGCAGGGGCCAGACCCCACTGCCAGGCAGAGAGCCCCCAGAAAAGCCCCTGCAGTGCTAGTGCTGCAAAGCACCGGGCAGCGATGCTCCGCGAGCTCGCTCTGTGCGGTGACAGCTGTTTTGCGTGTGTTGAAGCTACGCTGCCCTCCTCCCTCATCTAGAGATATTCAAAAGCACAAGTGTCCCCAGGTGCCCATAATGGGGCACAATAGTGTAGTCTCCTGACTTTTTCATTTCAGCGTTTTAGCCCAGCACGTTTTGCTGCCTGCAGTGACTGAGCCAAGGACAAAAATCAAAGACAAAGATTTAGGATTATTATAATCCTGGCTCTACCAGTTGGCACTGGGCAGGCCACCAAGTACTGCACTTCAGCACGGCTTGATTTGGGGCAAGACCAGGCTCAAGAGCAGGCAGAGCTTTAACACGCCATCCCTGTGGGCAGGACCCAAGGTGTGGAGGAGGTCAGGTGCGTCCACTCTGGCAAAAAACCCGCCTTGCTCATCAGCAGGAACAGGTCCATCAGCTTGGAGTCCAAGTTCACCGAACGTGCAGTGAAATAATTCAGTTTTTCCCATCAAGGATCTCTAGTTTGGACCGGGAAAAAGACTCATCTGAGTAAATTATCCCTTGCGACCGTGGCACCATTCCCAGCGCCAGCCACCAAACACCAATGCGCTTTGGACACGTCCCATATCACAGCTACTGCCCCTCCAGACCGGGACACACCGTGGTTTCACAGTTTGCCCCCCCAAAAGAAAGCGCTTCTTACATAAGCCGTGGGATGTCACTGACAGGCACGGTCCCGTCATGCGTCTCGTTTTCGCCATCCTCCTCCTCCTCCTCGCTGCTTTCCGACTCCTCGCTGGAGGAGGAGTAGTCCGTCACCTTCTTCAGGGGGCGATTGGTTTCTTCGATGCGCAGCTCCCTCAACTCTTTGGCTAAGGCCGTCAGATCCTAAAGGGGATGGGGGCAAGAAAACAAGAAAGCGATGGCTATTATATTCAAAGCGAGGAGAATGTCACATACATCTCTTCAAAAGCCAATGCTAACAGCACGAGCAACAAGAAATAGCTTTACAGAGTCGTTACAAACATGAGACGAACGTAAGACAATGTTTGTAGCATGTAGCATTTATTAAACAAAACAAAACTGATTTACGCTCACTGAAAAATCAATAGCCAACCTCTTCTTTTTCTGTTTGGAACGTGTATGTGCATATATATACACACACTTATATGTATATACACGACAAAATTATATTTGTTGGAAAAGGTGAAGTTCAGTCACCATCATAGTAAACTGGAAAACAACATCATTTCAAAGATTGGCTCGGAGAATTTCTCCTGCAGGGTTTTCTCTTCTTTCAAACTTCTCAAAGAGACCCCGTAATTGTATTTATTCTGTAATAAATGCATTTGGGAAGGAAGCAATGACAGAATCTCCCATGGAGTGGTGCAATCGCCACGTCAAGAGCTGCTTCCGTGGTGAGTCTCCGCTGTCGGGCGGCTGCCGAGAGGCGGTGAGGAGCACGAGGAGAAGCGCCCAGCTCAGCCAGACTTTGGAGTCACAGCTCTGAGTCAGCCACACGATCAAAAAAAAAAAAAAAAAAAAAAAAAAAAAAATCCCTCAGCGGGACTCATTAAGCACTTTATGTGAGATGTGGCAGCCTACAAGCTAAGGGAAAAAAAAAAAAAAAAAAAAAAAAAAAAACCTTGAAACAAGAAAAAAGATAGGAGCACTCCCAAAGCCTAGTAATAATTTTTCAGTTTACCATGACTTTGATGAGGTCTCAGACCCGACAGTCATATAAAATAGACACTGCTATTTCAAAACAAGGAACATGGCAGGCACCGTGTAGAAAAGAGACTTTTTGTTATCTTACATGCTTTTATAGCAATGCAGGGGGAAGCAGTAGGGCAGAAAAGCATGAGAGCTCGAATTAGAATGGGTTAGAGAACTCTGTTGCACAAGACATGCACATGACGAACAAAGCATCGCAATTGTCAGTCTTACCATTTCTCCCTATATTAGTGACCGAGGTAGGCATCAGTGCATTCGGTCAGAGATAAAGGATTAGGGAGAAAGAAACTCATTGAAAAAGACTAAATTCCACAATTGTCTTACGGCCATACTCTCATTTACTGCATTTCCAGTTTACCGTTCCAGCAGGGCGACTACGGCAATATTAATTACGGTTGCAAAGGGAGCTCTTAAAATCTATCTCGTTGACATGTGAAGAAAATGATGGAAAACCTCTATGGCTGAGATGCAAACCCAGTTTATTTTTTAATCGTGAAGCAGGAATATTTTGCAAGCAATTTGTACTCTGGTTATTGATGACCCACACCTCCCGGCGGGCTCCCACCAGTGGACAGCCGCACATTCTGCTCCCAGGTCTGCCCTGCCTGCCCTCTGACGTAGAGGAGAGACTCCCATGGACGTCAGAGAGCTTTGCATCAGACCCGTAAATATTAGTATACAGAAAAAAAAGCTTTTTTTTTTTTTAAAAAAAAGGATCAATCCCTGCTTCACAGCAGGTACCTGTGATGGGTGTTATATATCTCTCTCCAAATGCTCTCTGTACCTTTAAAGAAAGGCTCTTTATCATGATTAAAGAGAGAACGTGGTATTTCAAGGGTTTATTTTCGATGCCAACGTGTTTGGGATTGAAATACAGTCAAATCTGCAGTCACGACAACTAATTATTTCAATTAGTGCTGTAGCAGCTTCTATGATATGATTGTTTCTTTTCCTAAATAAGAATCAATGACAATTTCAACAGCTTCACAATGCTTTCCATTTAGAGTATAAAACATGCTCTTTATTGAGCACTTGCCTTTGAGTTGGCTTAGAGCCTTCTCAACTTTAAAAAGGACTTCAGGACTGTGTAAGAGCCTCTTAAAACTGCAGCTAGATTTCCTGCAGTGCAGGATTAGGACTGAACCCTTCCCTATCACAGCCACGGACTGTGAAAATTACTTCTTTTTTGCACCTTCCATTTCTAATGTGCTTCAAAGCACCCTATCAGCTTTCTTTGGTCATCACTAGAAGAGAGTCAAGTATTTTAAAAATCAGCTTAATTCATTTTTAATAACTAATTTGGAAGTTATAACAGCAATAATACTCCCAGACAATATCATCAGATAACTTGTGTTTCCTAGTTAAAGCTTTGCCTCGGGATGGTTAATTCTTTGATGCTATCATTTTCTCTAAGTAATGAGCACTTTGTAAGATTAAACGGCTTCACTGAGCTGTTCTTGGACCAAAAACAATCTGACAACTAGAAAGAAAGTGTTCTGTAGTTCCACATGTGTATGAAATGTTATTACTGAGGGTGACATAATATGTAAGTTAGCAGTATCAGTGCTCTTTAATTACTTTTAATTACAAAGCCTTCTTTAGATTTAATATTTGCTGGAATCAAGTCAGATTGGTTTCCAAAATCACATAGCTCATTGAACTTGAATTTAGCACACATGCTGCCTCTATTTAGACACTGATTTATGTGCTTTTTTCTTAACAAAGCACCTCATTAAACAAAACGCATAGCTCATGTTTTATCCAAGAGAGCAAGTTAACTAACCAGCACGTCTTCCTTCTTTCCTCTCTTCTATTTTTAGAGGAAAGAGGCTGCAGGAGAGCCTGCTGATACCAGTGCCTTCCATTACGGCCCTGCAGTTCCCAGTATCAGCAGTGTGTGCACAAGCGATGCACGTGTGAGGCAAGCTGAATGCTGAATCAGGAATGTTTGGTCTTTTCCCGTGAACATTTAAACATTCACCATCGCCAGAGGCAAACACATCTAAAATATTATCATACGGTGAAAAAGGTGTAATTCAGGACTCTTAATTTTATTTTTAAGAGGATGGATGAAGACTAGCATTGCCCATCAACATCCAAGACGGCTCCGCTGACTCTGGCTTTACAGCTGACGGTCTGGTCCACGAGAATGAATTACCCACTGTATTCCGCTGCTCTGTTTCCCTTTATTTGCCAAGCGCCTTCGTTCGAATTAGGCTTAAAACGCATTGCAAATAGCGCTCGATGGCCCCACTGAAATCAGTGAGCAGCCGGGGGCTGTAGCTGAGAGCAGGATGCGGTGAGCGGCGCGGGCTGCCCGGACCACTTCCACTGGCACAACAAACCTCCGCTCTCGCTCTTTCTCTTTCAAATATGCCGAAGAACGGCAGCGCCGTGTGCTCCGTGCGTGAACGTCGGGGTGCTTCTTGCCACGGCCTCCATGCAAGTGGTCTGGCCAGCGGGTTTCAGGCAGCCCACGGCTGAGCAAGACACACCGGCAGCACCGCTCCCCTCCCCGCGGGCAGGCTCCCTACACCGAAACGCAATCGTTCGGCCTCCCGTATGACCCGAGACTGCATCGCCACCTTTTTCAACGTCAAGCACCAAGAAAACCCGGTTCGATATTAAGCGCTAACTAGTCAACCTTGCACAGGCATGACCCACTGAGAAAAGATATCACTAACCTCATCTATAGCTTTCTTATAGCTCTGTGGGTAAAGGAAGAATAATCAGCATCAGAGGAAACAGATCGGGACAGGAAAAAGCCAGAGGAAGGGCAAGCAGGTTAGAAATAAAATTAGAATTGTTAGCTCAATGCTGTGGAGTGTAGAGAAAAAAAAACAACATCAACAAAACATTAATAGACATTAAAAAAGAGAAGCAGTGGAAATTCGTTTCGTTATTAGGCCGAGACTGCAGTTTTAAAATACAAACGTCAACAGCATTAAACCAGGAGGAAACACTTCGGATGAGATTTTGCTCAGAATAGTAAAACGGGAGTGTGCAGAGACCACCACCAGGTTTGGTTTTAAGCTGTGAAGGCTGTCAGGGGCCGGTCGCCCAGCCTCCCCGAGCAGAGCATCCCTCCGCCGGGCTGCTGCGGGGGGACATGCAGCACGGAACACAACAATGTGCCATCGGCAACCACTGCGCCCAAGCTAGCAAAGCCCTTAAGCATCTGCTTCACGTGAAAACACAGGCTTAAGTGCTTTCCCCTAGATTTGGGCTCCTGATAAAAACTCATGCACTCTCGTAAGCATTCAAATCTCCCATGGGCTCTCGCTGTACCGCCGCTTTCCAGTCTCTCCGCTGGAGGAGCAACAGCACTAGCCTCTTTTTTGGGGTCCCCGTGGTTGTGCTACCGCACTGGAGGGAAACGTGGCCAAGCTGGCTGGCAACATTCCCACAGGAAATAATTTAAGACTCACAGCAGGTCGGCTCGGTCGTGTCACGTCCCTGTTGTCTTCCTGCTTTACCTTGGCGGGCTCATGGGAGAGCACGGGGGACCCTTCGGGCTTGGCGTTCCCTGGGCAAAAGGCAAGCGGAGAGAGTGGGAATTAAAATGCTGCTGAAAGCTGTCGCTGCGTCCTGTCACCTGGGACAGGTGGGCACAGGGGCTTCATCATCATTTGCTTCTGTTGTTTCGAAAAACCCTCCTGCTCCTCTCTGCTTGACTGTCACTGCAACAAGTCTCCATCAACACAGCAACAGAAGCCCTAATCCAGCCCCACCTCCACTGACAGCCCTCTCGCAGCATTACTGCCCTTTTTTCTACTAAAGAAACAAATTCGCTTTGCAAAAGAGCAGGGCATGTGATAAATTAAAAGCTCTGCAGCATCTGACATTGCTAGGACATTATTTGTCACAGGATTCCTCATTAGTAAAAACAAAACCAAACCAAAAAGGACAATTGGTGATAAACTCCTTTTATTGACTACCTAGAGGAGTGATGACTTCCACAACAGACATATCATCTTATGGCCAAGTCATAAAAAATTCAAAGCATGGAGGCAGCATTTGTTTTAATGTGCTTCAGCCCTGGGGATTTATACTGCAGGGCTGTGCCAGAAATGCAGATGTATGGGTTGTATGTGCTTTAGCAACTCCCACTGCAATTAAACAGGGGAATGGAGTATCTTTAAGAGCGGCTCTAAGACGAGAGGAAACAATTCGGCTAGGAACATAAACCCAGTGTCAGCATGGCTGCCTGGTGAAAGCATTTTGGAGAAAGCTTCTTATGGGCTAATTCACTCCTCTGCGCCCCTCTCAGGCTTTGCACAAAGATGATGCTCAAAAAAAATACTATATACCCACCAAAAGTGAAACACACTCCCAAAGAAACCATCACAGAAGAAGTGAGTTTGGGTCAATAAAGTTAGGAAGCTTGTTTACCCTAAAGCATAATCCCCATCTCCTTTTGTACACGCTACTTGGCACTGTGATGCCAAGTGCAGGAGTGACACGTGCTGCCGTGGGCATCCTACATCAGCGTCCAGGCAAAAGGGAGCGTCAGCATCTCTGTTTGCAAGGAGGCCAGCTGGTCACAGAAGTACATCAGAAATGATGAATCCTTTGGTTTTTTAATTTTTTAAAAAACATACATGAGATCATGGACCTCTTGCCCTTCCTGCTTATCAAACAAGCCTCAGACAGCGCGCCTGGTGCCAAGGGACGTTTTCAAGAACCTCACCTCTGACTCTGTTGCGCTCGCTGGAGCCAGCCTGGGAGCCGGGCTGGGAGCCGCCCTGGGAGCTGGGCTGGGAGCTGGGAGTGCTGGAGCTGGAGGAGCTGCCGCTGCTGGTCCTCTGCAGCGGGCTCTCCACGATGGGCTCCGTCCTCCTCAGGTCTGGGTTGCTGCAAGAGCGCAAAACAGAGGGGTTACCATCAGCCGGTGTCACACGCACCTCCGGGGCTTCAGATCCTTCCCACGCTGACGGTCACAAAGGTGAGGAGACACCTTCTCTGCTGGAGGAGACAGGGCTGAGGTTTTCTCTTCCGAAGCTATTGAGCCGGCAAGCCCCACCGAGGGACTATGCAGAATTAGGCACATCTTTGTGCAGGTGCACCATAACCACGACGACAAATTGGCTAGAGAAGCTTTCTACCCTTATTTTGCCAAATTTGGCAAAAACTAAAAGATTCTTTGCTCAGAACTCCCTTTCAGCCTGTAGATGTGCAATGCTGGAGTTATCTAATGAACCACCAATAGTCACCATAAAAGCAGGAATTTGCGAATAGCTGTTAGACAGAGAAAGAAATATTTCAGTGAAGGAAGGACCTCAAGTTTGCAACAAGGCTGCAGATCACTTTTACCACTTATTCAAACTGCCCAATTTTCACGGCTTCACTTCAAACTTGCATCAGATACCCGCTTTTCTTCCTTGATTTCTCTCACCCTTGTGAACATACATAAATCTAGAACAAAAAGTGTCCTTGATACACAAGGAGTGACTAATATCTCTCTGGGTATCAGATGCCTTCAGAAAATTAATTCTTATTTGGCACTGAAATGACATCAGAAGACATGTTCACGCAGAGTTATGCAATTTGGTTTTATACAATATTTCTGTTAAGTGATCTTATTATTCAAAGTCCTATTAAAAATGCATAGAAAGCTTTCTCCGTCAAGTCCAATTAGGACTTTGCGTACATAAAAATGATGCAGTAATAGTGCCACATGACATAATGCAATTGCACATGAAGTGCAAGGTCTGTGGGGTGTGCACAGCGCATCCCTCGGAGAACAACCACAATGGTGCTAATGGTGCAAGGGCCCATCGCCTTAACGGGGTTGTTGGCAGAATTGTCTGGATACTGCCTAGCATGGATATTATATAAAATCCCTGCCAAGTGTTATCTTGCATTGACACAGGTGGCTATTAAAATGCTGAGAGCAAGACAGTAACTTTCTGTGTGCAAGGAAATATCCCCTCATTTGTTACAATAGGGTGACAAATAAAAGAGAGCGTATTTTAATAATATTTACATTTATGCATGGGAGGAATCAAGAACCAACAGGAGTGGTTAAAAAGGAAAATTGGAGAAATGCTACATTACTGTGAGAGAAATGAAATGTGAAACCATTTCATGGAATACTTAGTTTAATGGACATGGTAGCATCCTAATAATTTCCAATTTTCATCAAACTGAAGGCCTCCAGCTCACATGATGACATGTCCTTAGCTAAATTATATTCATGAAATGTATTTGAATAAAATAATACCAACGTATTTACCTGCACGAACCAGGACTGGGACCGAGAGGCTGTAGCAAACACTGGGCAACCTTCAGCTTGAATCCCAGACTCCCATTATCCTTTTTACTTTCAATACTATCACTTGCTAAGACCATGCAGTCCAACATCTCTCCGCATTTTAAATTGTCCTTCCAGCAACAGCTAATTAGAACAACAACATTTTCAAGCATTCAAAATGCTTCAGCCTTGAGCAATAAAGAGGAACCGACCATGGTATGAATGGGGTTTTGTCTAATTTTAAAAAGTAACAACACCAAAAAAAGATTCTTCCTCCTTCTGCTAACCCTGCCAGCTTCTCTAGGCTGCTGCCCACTGTATGCGCGTTTGCTGATGCACGGTCGGGGCACTGAGCTGGAAAGAAAGTCCATACGCCTTGACATGGTGACAGCACACGGCTATGAACGTCCCAGCGTTCGCTTTTTGACCTCACCCTGAAAGGACAAGGCAGGAAGAAGAAACCAAGGAGCTCCATCACACAAGGCTACGTGGACACGTATTTACCCTGAGATTTGCCCATCAGAGGCCTAGATCTGCCCACGGTGCTCTGCAAACCAGAGACAAGCTCTCGCATGACTAAGCCATGTTTTTTCCATCTAGCTCTGAGCAGAGCCTGTCAAGTCCCCTGCTCGTTTTAATCGTGCCCAGGGATAGCTCCGACACGGCAGCGACTGGACCGCTGCTGTGGTGCAGCATCCTTCCTCGGGATGCTACGAGCGCGCCCTGCACACCGCCGTGCCAGAGAGCTGGATCTGGCTAAGCTAAAGGCCCTAGTCCTGGGAAGCCGAAAGGAATTTAATCCTTGATCTACACCTAAGGAAGATCTCACCAAGCTGTATCAGCGTCTGCCCCTCAGCACATTCCTCAGTCGTTATCTGTGAAAAGCTGCTCCGACGCATAGGAAACGTATGGTACGTATCACTGAGATCTCCCCACTGGCTTACAGGGATCCCTTTATACGCAAGAGGTGACCCTGGGAGAACCAGAACCTAATTCCACTAAAGGGAGCGCCCAAATTCCCGTTCGACCCCACAGCAGCAGATGCAGCGTCCCAACTCCAAACCCTGCAATGCCCAGGAATGGATTCAGCCTGGGGAGCAGAGCCTCCAGGGATCCAAGGGCTCACAGCCTTTGGTGTCAGTACGAAATACTGACGAAATGCAAAAGTTCATCCCGGTGACAAGAGAAGCACTGCAAATCTCGTGTTGTCACCAGTCAGCAAAAGCAGGGCGAAACCCCAGCCCGTGTTCGGGTTCTCCAGCCGGGCGATGCCAGGATCACTCCTGCCCGTCCCGCTCGGTGTCCGTACCTTGCCCGAATGGGCTGGGAGCCCAGCCGGGGCCCCAGGGCGCTGCCGTTGCCCGGGGAGTTCTTCCTCGCCAGAGCAGGGGATATGGAAGTGGTTCGTTGAGGCACCTGGAAAAGAAGGGAGACATTTGCCGTCACTCGCTCTGCCCCACCACGTCGGGCGGCCGTGCGCGCATCTGAGAGGTCACCTTTCAGCACTGCCTTAAGACTTGATTTACGATTGATTTCCCGCTGAGAGGTAGGCAACATTTATAACAATTATAAACCACAAAGCTCTCGGCTTTTAGAAGGAATCGCCTGAGCATGAGACAGAAACAAGCTGCAAAGCTGCAGTCAGGGATGCTCCCGGCAGAGGAGCCCGAAGCAGCACACAGAGCAGCCCGGCTACCATCAAACAGGGCATTTATTATTTCAAAAACGAAGGTACGCACACACACACATATACATAATTTCAATCTAACAAAACCCGGAAAAGTATTGTTTTGAAGGTAAAATTCAGACCGAAGTGCATTTCAGCAGCCACAGTGGAGTTTTTAGCATCTCTAGCTCAGATTTAACACATGCCAGCAGAGAGAAGGTGTCGACCAGTGAACAAACAAGAGGATTGAGTAGCGGGAAGATCCAGACCGACCCACCTAATGCTCGCATGAAACCCCATGACCTTCGCATGCCACTGCCAAAACCCCACTGCCGGCAGGACAGCTCACCGTCAACGCCGCCGGCAGAAACCCAAAGGCAGCCGCAGCCGACACGTGCTACGGCGGGCGACCCCGGAGCCCTGCCTCGTCCTGCGGGAGCACGGGCATCGCCACGTGGCCGCCGGCGCGGTGGTCTCATCCCCCGGCAGCGCGGGCTGACGTGGAGAGGCACGATGATACTCACCCCGCAATACCTTGCACCAGGTAACAAGGGCTCGGCGGGATTAGCAAAAAAAGGGTTAGGTGGGGTTGGGGTTTTTTTTTTGAGAATAAACACGCAGTTATGTTAGGCGAGATAAAAAGATTCAGAGAGCGAGCGAGTTTTATATTCCGTGGCATCGCTAGCTACAGCTTGTCTCGTTAAAAAGCAATCTTCCCCTCCGGGTAGGGTACTCTGCAGTCAGGACTTGGGGAGTTTTTTACCTTCCTCTGAAGCATCCAGCCGTAAGCACTGGCAGAAACAAGACCCCGGACCACAGAGACAGCCGGCTCTGCCTCACGGGGCAGGCCTTTCGTTCCCGCTTACAAACACATCAAAGCCACTTCGGGCAGTAAAATGCGAAGTCAGACTCCTCCTGAGTATTACTGCTGATACGACAGCCTTAAATGTGATCTGGTGGGGAGCCCTTCCAGAGCTCATGTTCCCTCAGCCAAGGGGGAAAATAGTCCATAGCACTGGAAAAGAGTTTTTTTCCAAGAAGCAGGTGCCATGGTCTCACCGTGTAGCGCATCGCTGCAGTTAAGAGATGTCCTTCTCGAAGGACTCAAGGCAAAAGCCAACATCAAATTTCAAAGGGTTTTCCAAAATGAGGCTAAAATCAGGCAGCCACCCTCCTGCACTACTGAGGAGCGAAGCACACGGACAGCTCCAGGAGTTGTTGGCTTGCTTTTCCTCTTAGGTGAGCACCGATGCCTCCTCTCGCTCAGTGGTAGCAGAAATAAGAACATTATTCACACATGTGAGAGACCACCATAGATCCCTTGCACAGGGAGGCTTACCTGGTAGCTGGTATTTTGCTCTTAAAAAGGCAAGTCACTTACTTTGTTAATACATAGAAAAACTGCGTCTCGATCCGGGACAAATACTGCCTCACTGTCACTAATCAATTTGTAATCATTTTTTCTCTGGAAAAATCCTCCCAGGCTGAGCACTGATTCACTGTAAGGGGAACTTTAATGGCCAAGTTATAATTCTTCCAAAACGAAGGTGTATAAACAATGTGATCGAAATACTGGTCCAGAAGAGTCTTAATTAAAGAGGTACTGCCAGATGCTGCCAAAATGTCAATGAATGTATAAAGCTGCTGGAGCCCTTACAAGTCTTCCATCAAATATTGATTGCAACTGGAGGCACGGTACCGGATTAAAAAGGACCCGTCTTATTGAGTGTGACAAATTTTATGTTCCTATAATTCTATTTAAACGGAAGGTTGTTTTTTATCCTAGGGAAAGGAGATATTAATTTATTTTGGCCTCTGTCTGGGCTCGAGAACTTTCTTTGCTGGAGGGCAACACTATTTTGCAGCGCTGCGTGCGCACCCAAAAGCAGGTCCCAGCATCTTGTGCGAAACCTGCCTCGGGAAATGTAGCCCCCAGGCAGGTCGGTACCCGCCGTGGAGCCACGGGGATGGGCTCAGTCCTGCCCACTCTGCTTTGCCGGAGGTGCTGAGCGCAGCACCGTCCCGCGGGGACTTAGCTCTGGGATTGCCTCTTTGACGTGCTGAAAGTGAGGAGCGATAGTGTTACCTTTGGTGGAATGTCTTCCTCCTGCCGTAACCAAGAACTTCGGTCAAACTTTTCAATGCGAGGGGGCAGAGGAGGGTTTTCTGAGGTGGGGTCCGAGTTCTGCCTTGGCATCTCAGTGCGGTGAGAGGTCACCGTCAGAGCCTCCTGAAACCCAGCCAGTCCCTTTGCAGGCTGTTCATGCAGTGACTGAGACCCAGACAAGGAGCTTCCTTGGGATTTCACAGTGACCAGATGTGGAATCTAAGCACCAAGTCAAAACAGAACTATCAGTACAAAATGGAAAAAAAAAAAAAGGAATCAAAAAAAGATATTTAAAAATTTGATTGAAAAAAAAAAAATTTGATTAGCACTTTGGATGCACTCAAAAGCCCCCTCGGTTTGAGATCAGCACTGCCTTGGTTTCAGGACCTTCTGACTTACACCGCTTCAACGCAAGACCTATTAAAAATCGCGCTCGCGCAGCTCAGCCTTTTTAAAATCAGGCAACGTCATGCTTCGGTCCTGACCGCTCCTGCGTGCGCACGGTGATACGGCTCGTACCGACAGCCCCGCGCCGCTCTGTGGGTACCACCCCAGGAGCCGGGGCAGGCTGCTCCCTCCTGTCAGCTCCCACACACACCGTGCCCGCCCCAGGCTCTGCCTGCCGCTGGCCAAATTTCCAGCTCCTACGCCTGCACCTCTAAGGTTGCGCTAATGAGGTTTGGCATGGATTTTCCCTGTTAAAAATGGAAAAAAAAAAAAGAAGGAAACGATAATAAATAATAATAAAAAAAATTGTCAGGAATTCTGAGGCATAGATGGCTTAAAAAATAAATCTTGAGGCATGAGTTTCTATAGGTCTAGGTAGCCCCTACCCCATGGATCAGCCCTATAGATCTAAAGGTTACAAGTGAAAGGAATACTGACATCTGTTTGGGGAAATCTGAGAAATTCACAAAGTTAGAGTTTGTGAAATCAGAGCTTCTTCCCAGGACCCTGCGAAGCTGCACTTCTTTGATACAGCGGGGCTGTAACTTTCATTTGACGTTTCTACATACACATCTATATACGCATGTACATGTATCACGTGCCTATGTGTATGCATGCATACATTTACATGGGTGTCTGGGGTTCGAGCAACTTTTTCATTAGTACTTTATTGCCAACAAACGTCTTTGTAGCTGTTGATGATATAGGTCGCCAAAAAGGTCACTGAAAAATATTTGGTCAATCAGAGAAATTGCGGTGAATTGGGGTTTCACCCACTTCCCAATGTATATAGACCATGCACGTTGGGCAAAAAAAGCTGTGTGTTTAAGGGCTTTCCTGTATGTGTTTTATTTAAAGCTGGCATTGTCCTACAGGTGTGCATACCACACGCGGATGGCACTTAGTTGGCACATTTTCCCATAGAAAGCCCAGCCTGACTTGGAGCAAAGGCTTTGTACTTCCCTCTGAAAATCCCTGCTGGAGTCTGCGGATCTGTGGGAGTAATTCCAGGGGCTGGGCCAGAGCCAGCACTGACACTCCTACAGCTTTCAGTGGCAGCGTACTTACAGACCTCGTGGCTGGGAGGAACTTTTAAAATAACGAAGCCCCTTCTCTGTGACGGTCATGGTGATCTATGCCCTCTCCAGATGTGTTTGTGACTGATGTCAACTCAATGGAAAACCAAAACAAAACCTTGAATTAAAGCGGCAAAGAAAGCAAAACCTCTTTCTGATGATCCTCAGCATCAAAGCGTCCCGGGTCTTTTGTACCAGGCGCTGTGGTTTTAGTCCTTTACATAAACCAGATCCCAAAGAGGAACAGAGCAACTGCCGCACTGGACCAGAGCAGCGGTTCCTCTCAGTCCTCCAGCTTGTTTCTGGCAGTAAACCAGTACGTGATGCTTCAAAGGAAGGTATAAAGCAGCGTGATGTTTCTAACACATGGAGGTGACAAGAGGAATCCACTCATGAATGTAGATGCTGCTCTCGCTCATGAATACACTTAAGGCTGAGAAACCAGGGAGCAAGACACTATTTCCCTTTAATCCGCTCTTTTTCTTGTTACCTTACCGGCACCCCCAGCATCCTGGCTCCGGTAGGCGAGCCTGCTGGGGGAAGCACCATTACCTGCGGGTCCACAGGTCGGAGCAGGGGAGGGGTCCGGGCCGGCTGCACGCCGCTAATGCTGAAAGACTCCGACCGAGGAGGCAGGTTGGGGTCAGAAATCCTGTTGGCCACCTTATGGGGCATGGCCGGCGAGCTCTGGCGATTGAGCCGGGAGCGCTCCTCCACCTGCGGTGAGACGGGAGAGTGGGTGAACGCCCCATAAAAAGCCATTTCCAACTGAAGACCAAGGCATGCACATATATATATATACATAGGAAGCTCTTTTCTCTTTAGGGATATCATATATATTGTATGATCACGGAATCCAAGTTACCCGGCAGATTGTGCAATAAATGCATTTTAAAGACACTGAAAAGACTACTTGTATTTATGCGCGTAATTCATTTCTGAACACGAAATGGAAAAATAAATAAAAGGCAACATGCCTCAGAGAGGTATTTCTAGAAGATGACTCCTGAGAAGCTCTTGCTTCTTCTCAAATGTATCTTTAAGCAAGGGGACCCTTTTCCTTCACTACTATAAACACCACGAGGAGTGCTTTTGTTTGATCTGAATAAAAGAATAAACATGGCAGCCAGAAAACGGCTGGCTTTGATCTAGATTTAGTGAGTCTGGCACCTTGTCATGTATCGAAGGGGAAAAACCTCTATTGCTGACAGAGAAATAAACCCAAAGCCCACTGCTTTCAGTTACCCTTGATCAAAATACAGCGGTTTCAGCTAACCCAGACGTACGTGCAAACTGGGTGCTCCTGCAGTTAGACTGCATGCATTGATATTCATGCAGCATATGCTATGCAGAATTTTTGATACCTCGAGATCTGACGTGTATTTCATTTACGTATCATTCACGTGTTAAATAAATACCCTTAGCATGTCTTGATTCCACCGTGTACAACGTCATGTTAGAAGACAATCTTTAAAACAGGTTTGCTTGGAAAGAACCACAGCTCTTCTTTAAGTAAATAAATACTCGTGAAACAAAAGAGCCATTATATTAATAAAAATGAATCTTTTCCTCTTTCAGATACTGAGCAGGAGTCAGAATAAAATTTAGGTAAGAGATTTGTGTTACGGACTCTTTCCTTTCCAGTTCACGAGGAACCACCCGGGCCACTGCTGTGTCCTAAGAGGTCGTCACAGCTTCCCCAGGCGCTGCCCACCGGCTAGCAGAGGCCGTGCAGAGCTCGGTTCAGCGATGCCCACGGGAGCGGATGCAAGGATGGGAAGGAGAGCAGGGCGGGAAGGAGAACTCCCTCTGAACAAGGGAGCAGCAGCACGAGCGCTGGGTCGCAGGCCCGGTCCAGCACATCTCCCTATCAGCCAAGCCCTGGCACGAACGACAGCAGGCAGAGACGGTGCCGCCGCCGAGTCCTCCGGCTGTTTGCAGGCGCTCTCCGGCACGCTGCCAAGCCGTAATGTGCAGCTAATTATGGAGGACTTCAAAGCTTGCGTGGAGGAGAAGGCAGGAGAGTGATGAAATAGGGATGTCTGTGTACTGGGAAGGGGAAAGGCGCTTGGTTTCCCACTGCCAGCATCTCCTCGCTAGCGCTTTGCCGCACCAGCGCAGCAGAGGATGCTCTTGGGACTCTCCAGCTGTACTTTGTGGAGCCTGACTGACTCCACCATTAGGCAGAGAGGGGGAAAAAGCAGCAAAACCCTGCAGGAATTCATCATCGCTCCGGTTCAAGCCATCTCTAATTGAACTCAAGATTCCCCTCAAACAGGAAACATCCTTAGCAGCTTCTGTGCAGGTCCCAGTGGAAGGCTGCTAATGTTTTAATACATCACTTCAAAGCGAGAGAAGGATAAAGCCACTGGGACTGAAGGAGCAGCTGACGTGCGCGTTGGCTGCTGCAGAGAACAGCGCAGCTCGTGACGCACAGCTGAGCCCCCCGGAAGCTCTGAGCTGCAAGAAAGCACCGCAGGGCCTGGCCAACGCATGGAAAACATCCGATTAAACCCGTTCCCTCCTTAATGCATGGTCATGTATGGCATATAGGTGCCCAAACCCCTCCTTCAGCTGACCAAGCTTCTTTGTCACTGAGAAGTCAGACCTGGCTATCTGCATCACTTCGTTTAGCAAATACTGGTCCATAACGACAGAGTCAGCAACAGAGAGAGCTGCTACTTACAGTACTTCTGCTCAGAATGCTAATGCCACGTCCCTGGCTGGATCATCAGAGGGTCCCAACGTGATGTCCAAAAAGGCTCAGCTAGTCCTTGCTTAAAGAAGAGATGCGCCTGGGTAAACAGGGCAGGTCTGGGACAGCACCTGAGCTGTATCCCAAGTCCACTTCCAGTGGATAACCCTTCCCTCACAAGAGGATGAGGAGAAGGGACAGCAGATGGGGATGTGCATCCATGTGTGTTGGTAGGACTACTTGATCAGACTGTTTTGTTTAGCATAACAAAGAGAAGTCCTTGACTGTGCTCCAGGGAAGCTATGAAGGATGCAGTACAGCCTGGTTCCTAACCCAGAGCTTTGTCTGCACCAACAGGGCAGTCCCTCAACAAGGGGACTCAGGGACACAACCGCAACGTGAGTGGCCACAGCCTCACCTTTATGCTTTACCCAACATCTGCAGGGTCTTGGAGTCACCATCTGAAGACAAGCGAGGTGGGAAAATAAGTGCATAAAGGAGAGGTATGAAAAGCCGAGAGGGGCACGGCACGAGGAGAACTCAGCCATGGTGATCAAGCTCCTGAGAGAGAAGACTTGAGACCGAAGAGCATAAAAACAAGGACGGTATGGGATATCACGCAAAATCCTCAGGAAATATCCCAATAAGCTCTGCAGAGCCTCCACAAATTGTAGGCTGAGCACCAGACTTGTCTTTTTCTTGTTCCCAAAGGAAAATAAAGTCTCAATATTTCTGTTAAATTAGCATGCATGGGTTGGGTATGGAAATTGCTAAACTATAGCAAGAACCATGGTAGGCTGATTAAGTATCAGCACAAGCCTATTTGTATAGCCAGCAAGGATGGTACTTCAATATATGCAGCAAAGTAGCTGAATTGTGCTAAAAGTGGGACTACACAGTAGATAAAACAGGGGATGGAGGCAAGAGGAGTAGTTTTGGGAAGTTCCCAAGGGTGTTGTGTCAAAGCAGTACATCAAACTACTGCTCCCAAGAGCAGAAAGATGCCACAGTCGCTGCTTTGAGCATTTCATTAGAAACCAGACAGAGTGACACAGGTAAAGAATAAATGGTTTGGAGAGCTAATTGGTGGAAGCTAGAGATGTTCCCCAACAACAGGAAACCTCATTTTCCCTATAATTTCAGCAAAGGGTATGAGGCCACGTTCTGCTGCTCTTATTCACATTGTACAGTTCCCAATGCCCTGCTTCCAGTGATGGCATCAAAAAAAGACGCCTCCCCCACAGAACAGAAGAAATGGGCCTTTGTGTCTGAAATGAAAAGCTAAATCCAGCACTTTTCTCCTTCACTCCATATAAAGAATAAGATTCTTTTTTATATATCTTTGTTACAGTTTTGAAGACAGTGCCAGAGGTACTTTAGCAACATTCTAGAGGATTTATTTAAAACCAGGCAATGAAAGACAGAGTTTACTCCCTTTTTCCTGCCTGCTATCTACCCTCAGTGTTTCTGCAGACGGACAAGAGAGACCCAGTTCTGCACAAAGCTGCAGCGGCACCACCCAGGCGGAAGGCTCTCCTGTCAGAGGTAGCTCAGCACATCTGGAACATCTCCTCTGCAGACCCACTTACCAAACCTCTTCTCCCACTGGAAGGGCTGGAGAATGACGCTGCAACTCCACGAAAATATGTCATCTGGCACATCGCCAGCAAAAGACTAAATCGGATGGGAACAAAGGAGAAACCCAAGGGAGTATAAAGAGGTGAAAAGACTTTTTGACACCCACATCTATCCCTGTGATGGTTTAGAAAGGCTAAGTGTTCATATTATTGGCCTTTGCTTAGCAATGGACAGCTGATTGCATTTCTCAAGCATTTGATGCTTGCAGGTATTGTGGATGCGACTGAGGGCTGACAAGAGGAAGGACCAGGAGACAACTATGTGTTGGATGCACATCACATCTCTGCCAGGACTAAAGGGTGCCAGACATTTGGCAGCAGAGCAGTGATCCTACTTAGCAGGAAGAATAGGCAAGTTATTAACAAATCTTTCTGCCCAGGAGTAGGGTTACAAAATTAAACAAACTAAACACAAAGAACTTTAGAAAAATTAATAGCAAGAGTGGGCACCAGTCTTACTGGAGCCACCACAAAGAGATTAAGGAGAAAGAGTTTGCACATGATCCTGAAACCGCATTGCAGACAATGCAGGTCTTCATCTTTTCAAGATTATTCAGCCAGGCAATAATTAATATTCAAGATCTCACAATTGTTACAACAATTCCCTCTTTTTGCTGGAGAGAAAAAGAAAATCAGCAATGTGGCTTGCCTTCCTGAAAATCACGAAAAGAAGAGCAACCCCAGGCGATACAGCCCTGAGCACTGGAGGAAGAGCTGTCTGATCCCTGTTTGACTATGGGGAACTGAATTAGAACTCAGCAAAGAACCCGCTACAACCACCCTCTGCATTCACCCCTGACCCCCAGCAGACCTGTGGATGGGCCAGGAAGGAGCATCAGGAGCTCCTGGCACGTCCACAAGTCCCCGGCTATGGCTGAATCCCTCCCGGAGGGATCCATCCTCCTCCTCGCATGCCCTCATGGAAAAACCTCCTTCCTCCACTCCCTTTGCTTGCACAAACGTACACGCAGACGCACACACACTGCATTAAACCGGGAACATTTCCAGCACAGCTAATGGCATCTGCCGAAGGCCGACCCAGCAGAGCGCAATCTGCCTTACGTATTTTGGACCAAATGGCGTGCCCAGCCCTGCGGATGCAGACAAGCATCACCACGCTCCTCACTCTCGCCTACCTCCTTGGCCCACGCTGGTTTCTCGCTGGCATTTATCCCTTCTTTGTAATGGTAGAGGGGTTTCTTCTCTGCCGGCCTCTGGTCCTGCCGCTGCTGCTGCTGCTGCTGCTGCAGGGAGACCAGGTAGTCCCGCTCCTGCTGGAGCTGCCTCTGCAGCCTCTCCGCTTGCCGCTGCTCCTCCAGCTGCTTGCGCTTATACTCCTACCCAGAAGAAAACACAGTGACACGGGTGCCCGGCCAGCCTGTAAACACAGGGCTGCAAACCACAGATTTATCTGTTTGGGTGCAAAATGGGGCCTGAGTATCTGAAAGGCTGTTTTCTGGCAAAGCTCATTGATTTGAAAGACTCTGGGGACTGAGCTGTAAAGCATCCTGGAGGAGAGACAGTTGGGAGGACAGAGCCAACAAATTCAGAGTTGTGAACCTGGCATTGGCACTTTGCAGTTGGTGAACTGCCCCGTCTGCTGGGAGTGGGGAGTGCTAGCACTGCCTCGCTGGGAAACCCTCCGAGACAACCCCCAGGGCTGAGGTCTGCTGAGGGGTTACCATTGACTTTGCCCAGATTTTTCTGGATGGGAAGAACAAAGGATCAATCCAACGAGGTGCCAAATGTCACCGGGTCAGACAAAACCCAACTGAAGCCAACTCCTCTGTAGGACCAATTCATTGGTCGTGGGAAGGGCTGCAGAACAGAGCCAACTGTATGATCTTTCTGAATCCCTACATCTCTATGAGGTTTAACGAGTAAGTCATTTTGAAAGGGCCTTTTTAAAAGGCAAGGGCTTGTGTGAGGGTTTTTCGTTTCCCTAAACAAAATTAATAGCAAGAGCAAAAAAGAATAATCCCTGTGGATTAAAAGAAAATGCAGTGACAGTAACAGCTACCAGCATTGAAAAGGGTAACTCAAAACCAAATGAAACAAAAAAAAGAGGACATCTAGAATGCAAACAGCGCAACAGGGAATATACAGCATTCCTGCAGGGAAATTAAAACAAAAGCCTTCACTTGGAATATGAAAACCCACACGGCAGGGTGGGTTTGCCGGGCGCAGGCACGCGACAGCTCGACCACACTCCAGCATGCTGCAAACAGCCTTCAAAACTACGCGGCAACAAACAGGGCTGCTCCTCTCATCAAGGCACGAGCATGCCGACGCCGCGGGAAGGATGCGACGAGAGAGCCGTGCACCACAAGGGGACCCAGCCCGAAGCGGCGGCGGCGGGGGAAATCGAGGCATGCTCACAGCCACGGAACGGGACGGGAGGCTCTGGGTTCGGCGGTGAGAGCGGCGTCCCCCATGCCTCGGGGTGGCAGGAGGCACTCGGGGGGACACGGGCGCACGTGGGCACATGCGGACACGACACGGGCAGAAAGCGGCAAGCGTGGCCGGGGCCTCCCATTTACCAGAAGTAGTGCTTGCTCCTGCAACAACTGCTGCTGCAGGATCTCTAACTGTCTCTGCTCCTCCTCTAACTGTCGCCTGATGTACTCCTGGAGGCATGGGCAGCAAGGATCAAAGGAAAAAGAGAGAGAAGGTAAAAGAGCCAGTATTTCCCAAGAGGAAGGAGAATGAGGTGGGCACCCGCATCCACCCCGCCCAGGAGCTGGCACCGATCCATCAGCCCGGGCACCCTCCGTCCCTGCCCAAGGAGCCCAGGGTGTCCACTGCTCTACAAGGGACCTCCGAGGGTAAAGAGGGAAAACCACTGGGAAATGGCGAACTTTAACTGGGAACACCACAAAACCCCACCCTGGGAACAAGCGGGTGGGAAAAACCTGCGTCAAGTGTCTCTACACCCACAGGCCAGCAAGTGGATCCACACGGAAATAAATGACGGCAGTGGAAAGCGACACAATTAAGCAATTAAGCAATTTGCTCTCAAGTGGCAAAAAACGTGTTGACAAGAAAATCTCTGATTAGAGGAAGAGGAATCCCTGCCGAAGGCTATCGCCCCGCTCCCGCCGGGTTACCTGCTCGTGCTCCGCACGCCGCCGCTCCTCCTCCCGCCGCATCTGCTCCTCGTAGTGCCGCCGCTGCTCCCGCTCCTGCTGCTTCCGCAGCTCCTTCTCCCGCCTCTGCTGCTGTGGGGGCAGAAAGGCACAGGTCAGCATCCCCGCTCCTCTCCCCGGGGAGCTCAAAGTCCTTTTTCTCACCATTTTCGGGCAGCCCGGCGACCTGCAACGCTCCCTCCCACCTGAGGAGATGCCTTGCCAGCAGGCAGGTCCGTTTGGGGTGGCAGAGGGGCTTATCGAACCCACCCCATCCTCACACTCTGGTGCCCAGTATCGGCTACAGAGAACCTGTAGCATCCTCGAGCCAGCACCGGACCACGCACGTAACCCCATTTCTTCTCCTGCTTGCAGGTGAAGCCAGGCAGGCAGTGCATGGTCCCCCCTCACCAGTGTGCCTGACCAGTGGGTTAATCAGGTCCCGGACACCCGGGAGCTGCACGAGCCTGTCGCTTATGGGGAATTCATATCTCAGCCCCAAACCCAGCCGGGAGGATGAGGGAGGATGCTGGGGGAACTACTGCCTGCCGAGAGGGGAATGCATCCCTCTTACGGTTTGCTGAGACCAGAAGCTAACACAGAAGACCCAAAATCCAAGCATTTTTCCTTTTTGAAACACAAAATGAGCTTCCCTTGCTGTCCTCAGGCCACCCCTGCCCCCTGGGTCGCATCCCTGCTTGCTCCGCTCTGTAGCATCTTTCCTGACAGCGATCCAAGGCATTTTGGGGTGACGACAACGACCTACAGCCGGCTGTGAGCTGTCCAGGCTGCGCCGAGCACCCAGGTGACACCCGCAGCCCCCACACCCCTTGCTTTTACCCCAACATCTCCCATCCTGGGGAGCTGGGTTTCGCAGCAAACCGCTGCAACACTCTGCCGTGGAAGCAGAGGGGCCGCAGGCTGCTCCGCACCGCAGCCCCGCAGCCGGCACATCGGCAGAGGGCACTCAAATGCCAATATTGGGCTACCAGGACTCTGCAGCCTGCCATAATTCCATCATGCGCTGGGTGCAGCAACATGCGTGCAGCACTAACAGGGAGGCAACCTGCTGAAGCATAAACCTGGTCCTTTTTCCTCCATTTTTTTTCTTTTTTTTTTTTTTTTTTTTTTTTTTCCCCCTGCAGCCAACACACAGCGGCCAAGCAGACTGCAGTGGGGAGGCAGGCACCGGTGGGGTTGGCAATGCCATGCGTTTGCTAAATCACGTGGAAGGCTGGAGCCGGCAGCTGACTACGGCGGCTCTGCCCAAGGAGCTGGCTGGAGACAAAGATGCATCCACTTTAAACTGCTGCTCTGCAGTAAACCTGCACTGTATATACAGATGGATTTAAAATCCGTATCTATCTATCTATAGATATCTATGTAGGTATCTATCCCTATTGTAGATATCTATCTTTAGGGATATTATATAGATATTATAGATATTATATAGATCTATCTCCAGAATAGGTATCTATCTAATACAATCCAGATCCATCTCTCATACATTTGTAATAGATATCTAAGAGATAGATTTACTCTATTAGATAGATAGCTATTGTAGATATTACAATTTTATTCTCTTTGTTCTATATTCTGCTCTATATTCTATTATATATCTCTGCATATCTCTCTGAAGATAGATATCTCTATAGATATCTTCATAGATAGATACCTATATAAATAGACCTACAGGTAGGTATGTAGATATTTTAACAAACATTTAAAGACACCCCCACAGTTCAACATAGGGAGGAGCCACTGCCTGTCTTGCTGCTACCTCCTCATCCACAGGTACCATCCACAGCCACCCCACACAAGGGCTCTGATGATTTCCTCTAGCTTTAACGTTCGAGCTGCAGCACAGCTTTAGTGCCACCTATAGCCATATTTATCAGTGCTGCTCCACTCGCCTCAGGGAAGGAAAATCACATCCAACCTGAAATAACCTGCCAGCTCCAGACTCCGGCGTGTCCCACGCCAGGCGCCATCACTCGCGCTGCCCACGTAAGCCGGGGATGCATGTGTTACTCCGCGCGTACGCCTGCCCTCGCTGAGCGCAACACGAACGTAGGGCTGTTTGTAGTTTTTTAAAGTCTACACTAGAAATTGCAGAGGATACACCACCGGGATGCGGTTAACTCTGCAGCAGTAACAGTAATACACGGGATTTCTTGGCTTCGCCAGCGCTCCGACCTCCTTAGACGAGTGCTGTCGGTGATGGCCATTGCTTCCATGCACTCAGGAGCATGGATCTGTTGACTAACGGATTGAACAGACATTATTACCCTGAGCTTCCAATCACAGTGTGTATCACACTGGGGTTTGGGCGGGTTTTAATGGTTTTTTTTAGTTAAAATAGCACACTGCTGAATAAAGCACATAATGCTTGTGTAGGCTGGGCTTGGCTGGCAGGAGGCAAGGCCCTGAATGCCACAGCTCTTTCTTAAATAAAAATCACCCAATTGGTCATTATTTCCAATCCGGCAGGCAAACAAAGCCAAACCCCTCCAAGGAAGGAGACATAAGTGTTTTTCCCAGGGAGGGAGCAGCATACCACCATCCTTCCAGGGAACCCAGCGGCCCCGGCGAGCTTGCCCCACTTCTGGTCTCTCTCCCGCAAGACAGCATCTAACCGCCAGCCTCCTCCACACCTAAAAGCCTATTTAAGCCCAGGAGCTGGGAATTGAGCCCCCCCAGGCAGTTTTCTTTCAAAGCCAGGCCTGATCCTGATGCTCTTCTGGATATTTAAAGGAGCTCTGCGCCCTGCTGCAGCCGAGCTCTTTGAGCTGAGGCTGTGAGCGGGATGGAACATATACATTTATCGAGGCCAGGAGTACAGCACTTCCCTGCAGCTCAACAGCGGTTTTGTCAGGTCACATTATAAGCAAGTCATTTGTCACGGTTGCATTACAAGCACCTTCAGCTAAACACTGCACCGCCATCTCAGCAGAGCAGGGCTGAATCGGCAGTGGCACAGCCTCCCACCGCGCTCAGCTGCCTTGCCCGTACGGCCTCGCTTCGGCAGCTGGCAAACATCTGGAGAGGACCTGTCACTGCAGCGGGAGAAGCCTCCAGCAATGCCCCCATCTCCCCTCTACCTCTGCTCACGCTGGTGCTGAGCAGCGCTGGGATGGCAGGGATCCTGTTTAGAGTAGGGACTGAGCTCAGCAAGATGCAGCTGAAAACTGCATGTGAAAAGTGCATGTAGTAAGAATAAAAAAAAAAAAGGGGGGGGGGGGGAGGTTCAAAGATCTCTCTTTATTTCCCTCCTTTTCTCCCTGTTTTCTGCCCTCCCTCTCCCACTGCGAATGCACACTTCCCACGTTTCTCCAAGCCTGAAACTACTGTGTGTATTTACACTATCCAGATCTATTATTCATGCAAGGCAAGAGCGCCAATTAATTAGGACTGCATTTATATAACTCTGCAGGTAAAGCTGTATGTAGCTGCTTGTAAGCCAGAATGGGATCTTATTTGCGCTGCACTAGAAATGACAGGTTTTAAATATTGATGAGGGAAGACACACAAAGGCAAAACCTCTGGTGGGAAGGCCCTTGGAGGCCTGGCATGAAACAAGGACTTCAAAGGAGCAAGCTCACTTTGCTAGATCAGACGCATTCAGGACTACGAGCGATCAGCGGGCTGGAGCTGCCCTGTGACCCTGGTGAGCTCAGAGAGGCACTGACACTCGCAAGAAGAGGGTCCTGGAAACCTTGGCTGCTGCTCCCAAACACGAGCATGAGCCAGAAAAGAAGGGGAAGGGGAATTCCGAGTGACAAATGAAAACAAATATTCTAGGTGGTTGCATTGTTGTGACAGGCTCATTTATAGGAGCCACCAGGGAAAGAGTGATTGTGGCTGGAACATCATCTTCTCTGACACACCGAGCACTGGAGCATGGAGAGGTGTTTCCCACTGGTAGAGAAACTGGGTCAGAACTCCCCACCATGGCAAACAGGGATCTGATATGCTCTGAACCATCGCAGGAGCTTTTAGTTGGGATCATCATGAAGGGATGCTCCATGCAGGAAAACCATGAGCTTTGCATGCTTTATAACCAAAGAAAAACTAGAGAGATGTAAGGCTTAGGACATAATACCTGTAGTCCAGGAGATGCAGTAATGCAGCTCTCCTTGGAAATGGGTAAGGGACCACTGCAGTGCCACCATGTACCCATAGCACTGTGAGAAGGTTGTCATCTTAATGAAAATATTCCTACAAGCCATATGACACCTGCATATGCAGAAGAAAATAACAACCACCATTTTAGCTACCTAAGTTTATCTATAATTAATTGCTGGAATTTTTTTGCATTGCTTTATAAGAGCTGCCAATAGATGGTCTTCTGCTGGTTAACGTATAAAGGAGCTGCAGCAATTTTTTATCCCCTGAACATCCAGCTCTATAACTGCACTGAATGAAACCTCACATGCAAACAGCAAGATGCTTAGATTTGCTTTGTATGTTCCCTGTAAAGACCTGACCTTCGTTTTATACCTAGAAAGGAAAAAAAGCCACAACATGGCAGAAAAATGAGGTTATGTAAAGCCCTCGCTGACTACATCTGCCCACTGCTGCCAAGGGGTCTGCACAGAGATTTGTCTCACAGGATCCCTAATGCTCCTGACTGGGAGATGTTATTCCTACAGCTCAGCTGGAGTTTCGGTGGTTAAACCGGTGCAGCAAGGCTCATTCTGTGCCAGCAACAAATGGAGGGCTTATTAGGGGACTACACATATCTAGTCCATGTATATACAGGGAAAAATTAAAATATATTCAAGCCTATTCACCCTTCTGCATTACACAAATGTTTTCCTTAGCGCTATTTCATCTATTCATATTTAATTCTCTAATTTGTTTGGTGGTGGTTTTTGGGGTTTTTTTTTCAGTTAGTTCTGGTGCACATTTTGAATTCAGGAGACCAACTTTGTCCATGAGGGAAAACAAAGCTGCAACTCTACTTCCATGAAGGTCCCAGTTTCAAAGCTAGCTTGGGGATTTTTACTTCCACCGCAATTAAAGACAGCTGCAAATCTAAATCTCTTTGGCTGCCCGGAAGAAGATTCAGACTTAAAGAAGGAAATTGGTCAGCTGCTGAAAAAGGAGACTCAAGTGTCCGACAGATGCAAGAAGGCACGTGAAGGATGGCAGCAGGTCTCGGGGGCAGCATGAAGTGCATCAAGAGACCCCCAGAAGACTTCCTCACTTGAGTTTTTTATATATGCATTTGATGTCATTGTCAGAGCAACATTACAAGATGGTGGATTTCCCCCAAAAGGCCCTAAAATGAGAGGTACTTTTTGAGAGGTTCAGAAATCCTGGTTTAGGAAGATCAAGATGACAGAAAAAATGGGATTCCTTCATCTTGAGCTCTACTGGGTGAGGAAGCAGAAACAGTAGCAGCTCTGTCCCTGGCAGTATTTTAAAGATAAGGCTGGAAAACCACAAAAAAAAAAATCTGCAGAAGGTCTGCACTGACAGAGGAATGGACCAGTTATCCCACCAACAGGCCTTTCTCCAGCTCTTTTGCTGTGCATCTCCAGTACAAATTAACTCCAGGCATTTCTGAGCTTGGCATCCTCCTAAGTCAATCCTTTTGGTGCTGCACTTGGGCCCAGCCAATGCACTCACTCAGCCTGGCCACCTTCACGGCGTCTTACGATGAGTCGGAGCTCTTTCTATAAACAGAGTAATACGCCTGGCAGTAGTAAACAGGCTGACTTATGAGCCCCAAAAGCCACCAGCTCCAAGTGTTTATTTGTCCTGGATGCTCTACTGGGTTTTAAAGGTCAACTTTATTTTGAAAATACAGTAATCTGAGTCTTTCACTGGTCTATCCTCCCAGAGATCTGCTGGTTCAATGCTGCCTACTGGAGGCACACCCCATCTTAGTCAGACCATAAAGTAGCATGGAAGAAACCCTGTTCCCATTAACTAAAATAAATCCAGAGCCAAGAGTCAACAACTGAAGTTAGTGCAAAGCCAGAGTAAGAAAAAGCAGAGAGGCCAAAAGGCAACAGCCTGGCTGCCGCTGAAGCGTTTGGATGCTGTTGCGATGGGTATGAGAGCTGGAGCAGCACTGATCTCGGGAGCAAAACTGCGGTGACATAGATGGAGCCTGCTGGGTGCCTCCGGGCAGCGATACCAAACTCGGCACAGCTGTGACAGCCGCTGTTTGGTACCTCTGTCTGGCCATCAGATGCTTCTTGCCCCAAAATACATGGGAAGAACATAAAGACCAAACTATATCCGCCACTGGCTGGCTGTGCTAGAAATAGTGGGACAGCCTGGGGGTACAAAGCCCTTCCCGTGTCCCCGGGCAGAGGCAGCATCCCTCCCCGGGGTGGATGCTGGGACTCCTCCGTGAGCAGGAAGCTCAAGGGGAGGATGCTCAAAGCTGCTTGTGCAGCTCCTCTAGCCCACTCCCTGCAGCAGCGACAAAACTTTGCTAATTTCTGCCTCTACTATTTTTCTGGTTTCCCTACAGCGGCTCACGGCAGACACACGACACCTTACAGCCAGCAAAGCCGCAGCTGGCTGCACTGGAGAGCACTTGTCCTAACTGCTGCCGCAACCCATCGGGTTTGCAACAGAAGGTTTGTACCTCTTCAAGGACTCCTGCTTTAATCCTCACCATAGCAACTCGGCTACGTTTCTTGCTCGCCACGCAAACGGTGTCTAGTAGAGAGGAGAGCTCATTTTACTCCATGGCTGGAGATGCAGGTGAGGCTAAACCTGGCTAGACAGACTCGAGGAGATGGGCACCCGAGAAGATGCCCCTCGGTTACAGTCCCACCGTCTTTCCCCACTTCTCCGACATGGCAGGAGCATGAAAAAGCCTCTCCGCCAGCTTTGCTCCAGCAGATAACTCCCTTTCAATTTAGGTCCGAAAACTGTAAGGCAGCTGGGAAGAAGGCAATGGGTGAAGAGCCCAGGGGGGCTGTGAGAGCCACCAGAAACAGAGGCATTGATTTTAAATCCTGGCTATGGTGGCATTAGCTTTTAATGACACGGGCGAACGAACGGGGGGAACTGGCAGAGCCCAGTGGGCTGCACACAGCCTGACCCCGCAAGGCAGTGCCTCCACAGCTCAGGGCAGAGCTCGCCAGCTTAGCAAGGGGATTAGTCCTCCATTCAAAACCAGCCTGGGAAGCAGCAAAGAGAGAGAACAATTTTCTTCTATGTGAGGAGAACATATTAATACAGCAGCAAGCATTGTATTCATTACAGGATTGCAGCTAATCTGGTGTCTGCTTTTATTCTGCTGTTGTTCTGCTCCTGTACCGCTTGCAGCAAGCAGACTGGGACAAAGGCAGAGCCAGGGTTCCTTACGACAGTCCTCAGATAAGTATCTGTTGGGGCAGGGGATTTCGGGGTGCATCTATGTGCAAACCTTGTCCTCTCTCAAAGCAGCTCGCCAGCTTTGGGAAGGGTGCAGGACGCAAGCAAAGCCTGACCGACAATGTATTGAACACGCCATGCTCTGCGCTCTGACAACATGACAGACCTACATATTTACCAGACTGAAAAAATGCTTTGCCTGGGATTTGCCCGAGTTGGTTTTCTCCTCTGGAGGGGCTCAGAGGACCACCTTGAAGAGGGGCCATACCATCACCATCATCATCGCCATCAGCTGCCTGAAATTCCTTCCTGTCTGTGCCCCTGGCCCAGGGGCATTACCCAGCCCGTAGGGAGAGTCAGGTGAAACCTAACAGACACTCTGGCTCACACAAATTAAGGGGCTGGCTGCTCTAATAGTCCATTTACTGCAAGTCCTTTTTCCAGACATATCGGTGACCTCTTCAGAAAGCTAATTTAATTACCCTTAATGTATGAACCCTTCAATCAGACACTTGGGATGAGTTCAGCGCGAGGCAATGGGTATCTTTCCTCGTGCAAAACCCCATCAAAAACCCAAGAGCAGGGAAAAAGCCCCCTTATTTTTTGGTGGACTTCTGCAATCCAAGAACCAGGAGCTAAACCAAAAGCGAGTGTTTCCTACAGGGTACGGAGCCAGGCTGAGCAGCTCAGGGACACCCAAAGTCACCCGGTCAAATCCTGCAGCTGGATTTTAAATGGGGTGGATAATTTTATGACCGATCGCATTTGTAGCTGGTATGTTAAGACAAGGGTAATGAAATCTTATGCTTCGGGGCACATATGGATCGTTGCACAAGTCAGGCAGGCATCTGCCCCTCCCCTGCAAGAGAAATTGTAATTGGCAGGGATTGGAAATTAGGGACCAAAGGGGACACAAGTGGCACGTGGATCTGGGCTTCTCCTCAACTGTAACAGTCCACAGCAGCAAATAGTGACAGCGAACTTGACAGATACCCGGATCAGTAAGAGTTTTGCCCACCTCGCCTCAATACAGCTATCACCCCAGTAATGGGCTAACTCTGCTCAGCAGTTCCAGGGATCCCTTTAAATTTTGTATTTCAAGGGTTTATTTATAGCAAACCAGCATTATTACCTTCACAAGAGTTGGCAACACTTGCTGTGGTGAGGAGAGTGGCCGGAGGCAGGTACGCAAAAAGGATGAGCAGGGGGGTTTGACCAGTGCAACAAAACATTTGGGGTTACCAACTAGAGACGTTAGGACATGATCTTCTTAAACCAGGCTGAGAACAGTCACTTGGGACCTGCTACCAGAAATCCCGCTGTTCCACCCAAAACCAGCCTTCGCCAGCCCATTACTCGGCTCTGGCCGGTTACCTCCTCCAGCCTTCGCCTCTGCTCCTTCTGCTCCTCGATCCGCTTCTGCCGCTCGGCCAGCAACTGCCGCTTGTGCTCCTCATTCTCCCGCTGCTGCTGCTCCAGCTGCTGCCGGCGCAGCGCTTCTGACCGCTCCTTGTTTGCCAGCTGCAGCCTCAAGAAATCCCGTCTCAGCGTTGACTCCCCGGGCAGGTTTAGGATGGAGCTGCGTAGTAGAGAAGCATCAGAGAAGATCCCCTCCCCGCATCCTTAAACCTCTTGCCGTGGGAAGTTCTGCGTGATTTCCCAACGTGGCCCCTCTTCCCTTCATCCCAGCAGCATCCAAACACCCCACGGAGCTTGGGCAGCAGCGGATGGAGGGACGGAGGGACCACAAGTGTCGGGGCAGGGCAGCAGACACAGCGCACTGTTCACGGCTCACCAGTAATTTATTTGCTAAGGGTTTCCTTTACATTAAGTTTCTAACCAAAGCCTCTTGTGCTGCAGTGGCACGCACTATATTTAGCTGTTCACAAAGCACATTTAGCATGAATCATTGCCAGCTATTAAAATACTACGTTATCTCAGTGAAATAATGGAATAACCTGATACTAATTACAATGACTGTGAAAAATGTCACCAAAGAAAGAAAGTTCCAGCCCTACCGTGCTTGCGGCAGCACCGGGAAGGTTTCATGGCGGAAAGTTACATGGAAATAGGGAGTTACACTTGGATGTAAGGAACCGCATTTTAAAGAGTTGTCTTTAATTTCACATTTCTTCCACATCTAAATACCCACACTGCATGACAGCACAACACCACGCTGCAGATCCCACAGGCAATGGGGTACCCGCATCTTCTTCCTCAGCTTTTAGCTAAGGTGATCTATAGCATCAGTTTATACCCACGTGCTATCTAGCAGAGGGAATATACTCTGTTCTGCCAGGGAATGGGACTCAGTGCTCAAACTATCCTTTTTCCATTTCTAGTTCATATGCGCCTGTAATCCAAGCTGATTTTATACAGAATTAAAGAGACCTAAGGGCAGAAATGAAATGCTGATTCTTACCTGGGCTCTCCAGAGTCATTTTCCTCCTCCTCCTCCTCACTTCCACTGTACTCGTACTCTGTCTCATCTAGGAACAGAATTGCTTATTAGTGGCCTTTGCTGGACTCGTTTGTCTTTCCAGTGGTTGAAAACCCCAGAGCTCTGAAGGCAGAACAGACAACTCTTCTTCTCACATGACAAAGAATAAGTAGCATTATCTCCCTGCATTTTCTGCTTTTAGGGGGGGCTGCAAGGCCAGGGAAGCATGGGTGGTCTCCCTGGGTGCCCAGCACAGCGGGCAACTGCCCCAACAGCGATGTATGCTCAATGCAAAGATGGGGGGTGTCCATAAAATAAGAATATATCCCCATATAGCAAAGACAGTGAGGGACCCCCTCCTTCAGGAGGGTTCTTCAAAGGGAGGTGCACCACAAGCTACTGAAGCCACAGGCACGGGAAGGTGGGATTTAACTACGGCTCTGAAGGCACCAACTCTTCTGTCCCTAAACATATGCTCTTCCTATGCAAATCCATGTATTTTCCCGGCAATGAAGACATCTACATAAAAGCCCAACTGCAACGTTGTGCTACATACTGTGATTTCTATTGGGATATCATCTTTATCAGATGAAGGGAATGATAGTAAAAGAAAGGCTTGCATTTATCCAATTACTCTCCATCTCTAGGGTCCAACCTTCATTTGCCAGACTAAACACATTTAATACTTCACTGGGATCCCGTTTTATTGTTTTGATTGTAGTGAAATCTATTACAAGGGGCTGGAAGGTACGCATGAAAAATTAATACCGCTACCAATAAGAAGAGAAATAGTGACATATTAATTTGCTGGATTCTACAAATGAGCTTTCAAATTAAAATTCGGTTCACAAGCAGCTGAATACTTTAACAAGTTTCTTCAGCTATCTGATCTCCCTTTCAGAGGACTTTGATAGGGCCCGGAGAGTTCACTGAAAACATTTGGTTTAATAGGTTATTCCCAGTCAACGGAATTGCTTTGGGGCAAGGGTCTTATCTAGATGTTCGTTTGCACAACTCCGCTCATCACTGGTGCAGCATGAATGTCACGTAGATCAACAGACTTGGCATGAAATACGTGACCTGGGAAAAATTCAGCTTAGCAGCTTCTCCCTCCCACACGCCAGTATGCATATATGCAGACATAAATTTTATACCCACGTTTTAATGAATCAAAGCTTAAATGTTCCATGTGGAAATTACCACCTGGACAAAAAAGACACCATTTTTCATCAGGAAAAAAAAAGATTTAAAAACATTGATTAGCTCTAATGACAGTCACCTGTAGGCTTCGTATGAACACCAATTGTTTTGTTATGGATATTTATTTTCGTTTCAATGACTGAGAGGAATCAAATCAAACAAAATAATCTGACCTCAAAACCGTAAGAAGCGTGGTCACACAGAAGGACCACACCTATTTAATTCAACCAGTCTGCGAACAAACTTGGCCGTCTCAATAAGGGAAACTGGTGCCAATACCACGAGCAACCCAGTCCTCATTGCCTTCCTTCCACCCATATGTTTCACCCGCACGGATGTGCCTTGGTCTACGCTAGGGATCTCCAAGCGCATGGCAGAGGTCAAGGATTGCCCAGAGTGCTGCTTCTCCACTAACCCTTCTCGCTTCTCCACTAACCTTTCTCGCCTCGCTTCTTCTTAGTCCTGTCGATGTGATCCTTGAGCTGGATGCGGACCTGCCTTTCGTTGGGCTGGTCACGGATGAAGGGATGCTTCATCAGCTGCTCCGTGGTTGGTCTCTGGCTGTGGTTCTTCACTAGGCAGCTCTCAATGAAGGACTGAAACTTTTTAGACCTGGCCAAGGACAGAAAAGGACGGTACAGGAAAAACAGGTAAATATATCGATTCTCGTATTAGAAAGTGAGGAACTTGTAGGTATTTGAGAAGATTGTTTGGCTGCTACACAGTTCTTGCTCAGATGCAGCCTTCCAAGAGGATTCCCATGACCTCGTGTCTCAAAGCTGCACCATCACATGTGCCCTCTATCACTTTGTCCTCTCCTACTCTTCCCATGCATGCTCCTATCTATGCCTTCCTGGTGCAATTAGGAGAAACCACCACTCTGCTGAGTCTGGAGAAAGCTGGGACCCATCAGTATGACCTGCCCAGGGAATCACCAAAGCTAGACGTCATCAATGGCAACCAAGAAAATGCAAGGGAGTGTTCCTCCTCCCTTCTCTCTGACCTGTGAAACTGCAGGTGGAAACGAGAGACAACACATATGGATATAAATGCAATTCCTTAATGGATTGTTTCTCGTATATTATGGCCCCAGGCCATGTTTCAAGAGATGCACCTTTCTGAAGATGAGCAGGGCAAGCTAGGTTGATGATTTTTTTAAGTTTAACCACCCAGCATTACACGGCTTGTTAAAGCTCAGACAACCTCTGAGCGATGCTCGCTGCCTGCAGCCCTTCCCTGCTCTCTCAGGGAGACCCAGCAGCGTTACTAACCCCCCGGGTCCCAGGGGCCACCATGCCCCGCTCCCCCTGATCACAGATCCAGGCGAATGGGACATGCTCTTTGGGCAGCACGGCTTGGGCAGAGGTGGGAACGTGGCTGCAGGTGGCAGAGCCCAGCCCCTTCTCACAGCCTGCCTTCAAGCAAACAGTTAAATTCAATCTCAGCTAAAACAATTTCAGCCAAATCTTTAATAAACAGATTTCTCTTAGTCTCAAGTGTTGCATATCAGAAGTTTTCCTGGAACTAATTTCATCACATTATAAACCCAAGAGAACAGGGATTTACATGAGAGAAAGATGTTGACAGGCCACTATACTCTACGTTGCTTTAGCAAATAGGAAAATGAGTGTAAATTAATGTCGGAAGCCAACAGATACTACAGAATTGCATTAAAAGTAAAACACTAAACTTTCCGGGATTTTACTTTTAAGCTGTCAGACTAAAAGTGATTTATCTTTTAAGTGCTAATCCATCCAAATTGAGATGCAAAAGTAAAATAAACTACTGGATCCAATTAAATCCTCCCTCCAGCTTTATTAAGCAGCAAATCTTCCTTCCCCACCTTGCCTCAAGAAACCCAGTGTCCTGGTATATCCAGAAGGGACAATCCATGCGGTGCTCAAAAAAACCCTGCTTCTAAAGTATGATTCTCCCCTGCTGGTGTGAAGCTGGAGAGGCTCCAGTCCTGGATGTGTGGTCCAGAGCACCTGCAAATACGGTTGAGGTGAAGTAGCTAAAAAGTGATCCTCCAGTAAGTGATGGGTTTGCCCATCTCTTGGGGATGGGGGTCCCAGTGCCCTATGATGCCCTAAGACACCTTTGCATCCTGGAGCCAGCTGAGCAGCTATGGATAGGGACCAGCTTAGGCTTCTGGTTTTCCTGAAATCTTCCTCTCCAGAAAAGCAAGCCTGTCCAGTGGCACAGTTTGGCCCTTACTGGAGCTGGAGCAGAAGACAAGGGCTTTCTCCCTGGCTCTGATCCAGGAGGGCACCGTCACGCGTCTCATCCCCTCCCCGGGTGCAGGTCAGCCCACCTTCACGAAACACGTGCTCCTCCAGCTCCTGGGGTTTGTAAAGCTTAAATCAATGTTTGCAAAGTCTTTGCAGCTGCTTGGATGGAAAGTGGTATCACAGTGCAAATATCACCCCATTAACAAAGAGCTTTTGTCATCTCTTATAAAGGCAGGGCGAGGGAGTGTTTATGGGAACAACATCACTAAAGTTCAAGTCCATTTTACCTGCGAAACGCAGGAAGAAGAAAATAAAGCTTCATTGCTGGCTGGCTTTAATTGGGAAAGAAAATAATACCACAGAGTCTTTGATTTCATAGGAAGACAGCGCTATTTTAAAAGCGAGTTCAAGGACTTAGTAAGCAACAGAAGTATTTTCCTCTCTAGGATTTTCGATTCGGGGCAGCTCCCACGCCTGCATTCCCTCTCAGCTTTCCCTGACTTACCCTCAAAGCTGCTGGGGTCACTTCGCTATTTCTTTCACATAAGGAAAAAGATGATCTGCCCGCTCGGTGTACTTTTATGTGTTGCCACGCACAAAAGCAAGGACAAACTCAAGGTTCAGGTTGAACCTTTCTTCATTTTGCTTTTGTCTTGTGATCTGTGCTTGTGAAAACCAACCCACTGATCGCCAGAGAGCCACTGTGAAAGCCTGGTCAAACATCTCCAGTCTTCTTAGGTTGGGCCTGCAGAACTCCAGGACCCATCTTGGCCAGGCCCAAAACCTCCAGCTGAGAAAGGAGCCAAGAACAGCAAGTTTGCCTGGTGTCCCACTGAAAATGCTGAAAAAAATTGCTCTTAAGGAATTGGTAGAGTTGGTGGAGCTTCATCTGGATCCTTCGGAGCTTCCCATCGCAATGAAAGCTTGGAAGATGGATATAGGTTTGAGCTGCCTGGGGAACACGTGTCCCAGCTCTGCTCATGGAGGGGTTGAAGCCAGAGTTTCATTACACTATGACTTCCCAGGCGATCCTTCTCTCCAAGCAGCCGGGATGCCGTCGCTGGCACGGGCAGAGCACAGCCCTGGACAGACCAGATGAGCCCGGGCAGATACCACCACGGTTCACCACCACGAAACGTGTCAACCTGAGACAGCTGCCAGGCACGCGAGGGGAAGGCAATGCCAAGAAACATCCCGGCTCGCACAAAGCGCATCTCAGGGCAGGGACGAAAATACAACTTCTATCCCAGCTCCATTTTTACCTTAAGGAGATGGGGAAATGTTCTGCTCAAAACCTGCTTTCATCAGCTCCCCTCTGCCTGGAGGCTGAGGAAGCCTTTGCTGAATAAACAGCACTTTTGTATGAAAAATAAACTCTGATAGTCTGACAATCCATTTTGTGCTGTAGCAGTGAGGATAATGAAGTAGAGGGCTGGTGATCTGGCAGAAAACAAGCGTATAAACTATTTTCTTAGCTGACTAATGGTATCCTCAAAAGGTTGGGCAAGGAGAGCAAGCATCTTTGACATTCTCTGCAGACCCAGCCGGGAAAGGTCACTCTCCTCCTGGTTTGGTACTGGAGCAGCTGATGATTGGGCTGACAAAATTAAGATGCCTCTGCTAAAGCCTGGGTGAGTTTTCAGAGGCTGGTCCTAAAACCCCAACACCATGCATCCGATGCGGAGGACTCCAAGCCCCTCTCGCTCCTCTCCCAGCAACAAAATACCTACCAATTGCTCTTCCTTTTTTGTGTGTGTCTTCAATAAGATAATAAGCGTAATTTCCAGGAATAAGGCAAAACTTCCCCCTGTGAGCTCAGCCTATCTGGGAGCAAGGGGCAGTGCTGCCTCTCTAACATCTGGCAGATCTTTCCTGAGCAAACTGCTACTGAACCTGGGGCAGGCAAACAGCACGAACCAAAGATGACTATTTTTAAGGACTCCAGCTCCATTGGTACAGAACATACAGTAACAAAACAACATCTGCTGGGCTTCAGGAATATTTTTCCTACGGGTTTTTATTGGCATGCCCTGCTTTTTTTTCAAAACAGTGATGTATTTTTTCCTGCAAAATTTTAAAATAAAGCCCAAACTAAGTACAAATCTCTGCATTCCTGGGCCTTCAAGATAAACTATCCTTTTTTTTGGCCTGGATACATGTTTCCACTTGAAAACGGAACCTGACTGGAAAGAAACGGGAGCCAAGCAAAGTGTCATCTGGCTTCAGGCTGCACAAACCGCCTTGGAAAAGCCAACTCTGCGCTGCGAAATGGCAGTGTTAGAGAGCGTTCCCCTTTCTGCCTACCTAGGAAGCCTTCCATCCCATGGTGAGCAACTCCTGCAGACCAAATTGGCTCTCCATAGGAGATCAAGACCCAAACCTGCACTCACTGGAGCGATGCTGGAGACCGTCACCAACCCCTGAAGCTATACAAACGTAAGCACCAAGTCCCCAGCGTGCCTGGGCTGCAGAAGCAAGTTGCTCCAGAAATGTTTTTACAGTCGTTGAAGATTAAGAAAGGGACTCACCACTTCTTTGATTTCAACCTCGGGGCCGGGTTGCGGGGGATGAGGAAGAGGGCTCTCATGGGATGCATGTCACAGAGAGCTGCAATTTGCAAGAAGAGGCATTAAACACGGCACGGCACTGCGCAGACCCCCCGGGTTTCCTAAAGAGAGGCTACACGCCCAACTGGGGAGACCCAAGTTTCCTTTGAAGCTACAAGACCTGCATGGCAGGGGGATTTGCAGCGACAATCCCCTACAGACAACCCCTGGCCCGGCAGCAGCCTGGAGCTCAGGGGAGAGCTGCTGTCTCCAGCCGAGCGGTGTCTGTGTCCCCAGCACGGCCGGGCTCCGCTTTATTGACTTGCATTTACCAGCACACAAGGACGGTCCCAGGATAACGCTGAAAAACCCACGGCAGTATGACCTGTGCAGATGCATCAGCTGAACCCAGCGTGCCACTACCTGTCTCACCGCCGAGGTGGGTGAAACACCAGCTCTGAGGAGCAGCGTTTTACCTGCTTCCAGTCCTCCACCCCTTCTACAGCTGTATTTTATTTCAGGTAACTGAGTCCCAGAGTGCTTAAGTGACATATCGGGATTCATACAGGGTCGTGTGCCTTTGCTCACTGCCCATCCCATCCCCTGGGCCATGCTTCCCTGGCAGCTTTGTCCCCGTGGATCCTGTGAGCTCCATCCCAGTAAGCCCAGGCTGCTTGGGAAAACCTCTGCACCGTGTTTCTTGCACAGAACTGAGCGCCGGGTGGTGCTCAGTAAACCCCAGCACATTACAACACCGGGTTAATTAAAGCAGAGCAATGCAACTACTTACGGGGAGCGCCTTCTGCCATCTCGATGGCCGTTATCCCCAAAGACCACAAGTCGCTCTGTAAAAGAAAGCAGAGGGACGTACGTGATGCAGAGGAGCATCATCACAGTGGTGGGCATTGGGCGAGGGGGGAAGCGTGGCTCTCCCCAGCTCAGGGGGCTCAGCCCTGTGAGCCGCGTCTCTGTGTCCTCTGCAAACCCCCGGACCCATACCTTGGGAGCTTGTGTCATCGTCCTGCCATGTGTTGGAGCTTTAGAAGAGGCTCCCAACCCCGCTGTTTATCCCAAGATTTATTTCAAAACCTTCCGAGGCATTTTCAGTGTGGGACACGGCCACCTTGCTGGGGCAGCGCACCCAGTAGCTGTGGTGAGGGCACTGCCTGGGGAGATGCTGATGACCTGAAGGTCCCCTGCTGAGGGCACCTTAACGAGCCCTGTGCACTAACGAATGAAACCCCAGCTCCTGGATGGGCTGGTAACAAACTATTCCCTGGCTTTGGAGCTGGGGTAAGCAGCAAACCTGGCTGCTGACTCCCTGCTTAAAGCTGGGTGATACACATGCACGGATTTGATACAGCTCCAAAGAAAACAGGCTGGCTGGAATAGATTAAAAACATGAAGTATCTTGAGATACCTCAGGAGGCTCTTGTATCATGGACTGCTCATTAAATGGAAGCCTGAAAAGCGGCGTTTCGCCAGTGGAAGGAGAAACGGACACTTTTATTTACCCTGTTCCCAAGCCCTGCTCAGCCCACATGGTTGGTTGAGTCTCCCGAATGATCAGAGCCCAGAGAACGCACCTATTTGGAAAACTCTTTGATTTCGTACTCGTATCACTCTTCCTTTCATTTTCCCTCTTGCAAACAGGGACATCCGTATCCCCAGCTCCCTGCCAGAGAGCAGCGGTGAGCTGCCCTCCAGTGCCTCCTCCCCACCCTGCCACCGCTAACGAGCTGCGGCTGCACCTCTAGATCTGGTAATGAGCCCCAAAGGATGGCTTGGCTCTTCTAGCAGCAGCGGAGGCAGAGACAGTACGTGCCTGGTGAGAGAAAACGAGCACCTTCCCTAACGGCGCTGCCGCAACTTGGTTTTTTGGCAGAAGGCGGCTAATTCATTATTCTGGACACTGTATAGGGCTGCTAACGATTCACAACCCAGCACCCGCTGCATTGGGAACAGGACCCAGACTAATTTTGATGCCTTCAACTCAAGCACAGCATCTCCTGCCTGAGATGGGAGGGCAGCAACGGCAAGGGCAGAAGCTGCAGGTGCACAGGGGACCAGGACAAGCCCAATGCTACGTTGCTCCAGCTGATGTTTGCTGGAGACCGGCTCAACTCCAGTTGGGTGGAAGGGATAGACTCTGCCTTCCACCCTTCCTCCTGCACCTCCAGCTCTCACGTCTTGCTCTCCCTTCGCCCTGCTCTCTGCCACGTCCCTGCAGTCCCACGTCAGTTTTCTCCTCTCCATTTCAAGAGCTGCCCTTTCCAAACTGCCTCAAGTCTCTAAACCTGCAATTTAGTGAGTAAATCCCAGAAAGGTTGTTTTTTCCAGCACAGAGCCCCAAAAGCTCAGCCAGAACGAGAGCGAGCCTCTAGGGACCACATACACCATCCAGGAAAGACAACTTGGATTTTCAATTTCAAGGCACTTCTCCTCATTTTTAACTCAAGTTCTCCCCTAACAAACGCTGCCTTTGCTACACATCTTTGTACCTGCTTAAAAATTCTCTCTCAAATCTTACTTCCAGCCCTTTCACAGGACAGTCTCATCCATTCTTTGTTTCTGGTCAGCTGGGATTTCTGCCGCATACTTAATTATCGCAGTCTTTCCACATGATTCAGCACACATGACCCGTTCCCCTTGGGTTGCCGCTGAACTCCTTCCAAATTCCTAGTGTGTCTTTCCATATCGAGGTGCCCAGTATTATACGCAAGATGCCAAGTGATCTTAAAGCTGGAGCAATATAGAAAGAGACTATCATCTCTCTAAGTCTCCCAGAGAAAGCAGAAAACTCAGCGGGAAGCACACATTTCATAATGAACTGGAATTCAGGGGTTTTTTTTTTGTGTGGCGTTTTTATTTTTGAGTCTGAAAAGCTTTTCAGTCCACCCAGCAAAAAGATGCTGTGCTAATATATTCACATTGCCTTGACTTGGGAAGGGAAGCAAGCTTCCTTTTTCTGCCCCCCCTTTTGATTCTAAGCTTATTGACAAGATATCTCTAAAGAAAAAAGGAAAAACGTCTGGGGGAAAAACCAATAAATAACCTCAACAACGTGGGGTTTCTATTTGTTCTTTTTGAAAGTGGTTTATTTTTGTGAGGAGGTATTTACTGCCTCCTTCCATAGATTACACAGGCATCTCTTTCTGGCTAAGAAAACAGTGAGATCAGAGGCTTTTTGTCCAACAGATTAAGCCTGCAAGGATTCCTTTTTTCACCCTATAAATCTCATCTTTTGTATTCACTATTTTAAGCCAGTCAGCTAAACCTGAGAGCATCTGATTTGCATCCCTTTAAAAAAAAAAATCATTTACATTTCCCCCACACACACTTCAAAGCAAGAGCATCAGGTGCAGGGATGTGATCTGGGGTACGGACTAACGTCCAGTGGCTCCCACATCACCACGAGCTCCGAAAACACCCTGCAGTGAGTGTGTCGGCAGCAATCAGCCTTCTGTTTCATACCCCCAGCCAAGGGAAAACGGTCAATGCCAACTTCAGAGATGCGAGCGCCCGGCTCGCTACGAGCATTTGATCCTCGGGGACAATAGAGGGATTCTGGTCCCGGCGTTTGTGCATCAGTCAACGGCATATTAAGTGCCCTAGTTATTCTGGAAAGAGGAAAAACCTTAGGGATTTCTAAGGGTAGAAAGTAGCCTATGAAGATACCAGTCCGTTTTTAAAAAAAAAAATAAAAAAAAAATAAAAAGCTGTGATTAATTAGAGCGTTGCACCAGGCGGCTGTCACTGGAGAAGCGGCGAGAGCAGCTAGCACGGGCTGCAGCCCTGCTACAAAGCACTGCCATCAGCAGAGTTGAGGGAACGCCTGTTGTAATTGGTTAATCAAAGAGTATTAAGTAATTGCAGATTAAACTATTTCTACATGACCTTATCATTAACGATTTATGTAACCCCGAATCTGAACTCGGACTGGAGAGCTGCTCTCTGGAAAACCATCAGTTCAAAAGTTGACTGATGCACTTAAATAGCTGCAATACCAAAGCATCACTTGGTTACTTTAAAATCCTCCATCTCAAAAATTTCTCTGAGTGATTGGTAATTGCACCCCAAATCGTACCACGATGGTGGGCTGTTGCACTACTACATTGTGGTGTCCTACTGTTAGAAAGCAGCTACCTACCTCCACACCAGAGAGTCTCAAAGTCCTTTTTAAACATTACCTTGTAAAGTAACCTCTCAGCACGCGCACGAACGATTTAGAAATTCAAATTCTGCACGCTTCAAAAAATCAAGGGACAAAAAACCAAGGGACATTTCTACAGACGTGTGTCCAGAAACTTGCAGTAAGGCAGAAACAAGATAAAATATATTAAAGCTCTCCCTGCTTTAAACATCAGACCTCACTGTAGTTTGAATGGGCAGGTGGGACTCATAACCCTCCTGTGGACCTGCTGCGTGGCATGGGGCTCTGTGCCACGTTATAACTCAGCAGCAATGTTGTGCTGCCACCAATCCAAAAATAAACTTCAAACAGGCTAGAGAGACATGTGAAAAGTAGGTCAGCCCCCTAAACGTCTGATTGTGTGGCAGCCTTCAGATCTCCAAGCGAATACCAGCCTGCAGGCCAGAAGATGTGATTTTGCCCTTTCTAAACCTGACCTGACTTCTCTCCAGAGTAAATAGAGCAAATACAGCATGTTTGCCTGTAGTATTTAAACATGCAGCACTGAAAAGCAGGCTAGCAGGTAGGAAGCCTCAGTCTGACACCTTTCTCAGCATGGGGAAAGACTTCTTCACAGTAAATTTGGATACGTGAACAGCACAACAAAGATTCACATCGGACCTGAACTGGCATCTCAAAATCCAACAGCCAGAAAGCAGGAGGAGACTATGCTGCTTGTCAACATATTTTTCAAAGCTGCAAGAATATACTAAGTTCCTGAGTGCTCAAGTTCGTGGTACAGGAGCATAAAATCTGAGCTCATACCAAGCACCTGCTTCGAATGTTTATGATCACAACTCCCATTGCAAGCACCAATAAGCGCCACTTTAATTCCTTCCCTGCCTTACTAGTAAATGTGCTTGACTTTGCAAAGATTACAGAGTAGGAAGATGCTCGTTTAGGTACCTTGAAGTCATAAGTGGCATCGGGATTTTCATCGCAGGCAATGACCTCGGGGGCCATCCAGTAAGGCGTTCCAATGAAGGTGTTTCTCCTGCCCACCGTTCTGTCCAGCTGAGCACTGACACCAAAATCCACTGTGGATCAGAGAGACACCAGGGCATTGTAAGGTCGCAAACAAACCTGAGCAACACTCTTCTGTCAAATGTAAAACATTGAGTTCATTCAGACCAACTCCTGTGCACGGTCAGGAAAGAAAGACATGGCCAGAGACATTCCTGTTTGGTCTCTGCTGGGTTCAACAGAGGTCAATCAAGGACAAACCTGATCATCTGATGTCCAGGTTTTGTACGAAACCCTGTGCCTTTTCCTCCTTGCCAGGAGGCAATGAAAAGAAATCACAGCTCCCCATACTAATGAGAAACACGGTTAGCAACATGAATAAGCAGCAGCCTTTGTTCTGTGCTTTCTCATTTGAATTAAAGCCTGCCAAATACTGGTAGAAGCCTCATTTTTCTACCTAAATTCTTGCTAGAAATGGCAGAAATGCAAAAGACTTAAGGAACTAAGGGCCAAGGACAAAGGCCCATAGGGAAATGTCAAGCAGAGAGCTGCAAAATGAAGCAAAACCTGATGAAATCAAATCAGTGAGAGAATACTCTATGGTCCACTAAGTTCACTTTGCACAACACAATGGCTGGAAATTTGCCCTGGAGAATTTCCCCTTGGAGGGGAATCTTCACCAGCATAAAGCTAAACGAGCTGGTGGTGCCATCTGTTAAGCTGGGGTTTTATTCTGCTGTAAAGAGAGAGGATAGACATGGGAAAATAAGGCTTGCACCTCACTTTACCAGTGTAAGGGATCTTTCATCACTAGCATAAATTAAAACGCGCCAAGACAGCCTTAATAACATAGGTGCTGGACAGCTGAGGATATCAGCACATCATCTGTGCTGATCTGCTGTCTTCTATATGATCCTCACTTGAATGCCTGGTCTTCTCCAGGGTGACTAACACCACATATGAAATTCAGAGTACTTCGTGCAAATTAAGCTCTCTCCAACAGGTTATCTTGGAAAACAAGTCTGGATTATGGATTAGATAATATTAGATTATCAGATTATTACTAAACTGAATGGATTATGATCCTGTAGGACACTACTATCAAGCTGTGGGGGAACAGCCTTCGATAATGTCTGGCGATGTACACAGGGCAATTTTCAACCTGGGGTATGAAAAAATGCTCTTGATTGCTTAACCTGTATCTGATGGCAGAGCTGCCCAAACTACCTGTCTGAACAGAAACACCACTGCAAGTACATCTTTGCATGCAGAATTTGACCATCAACCATGGGCAGTTTATTGCACGGCGCTTGGTCAACAACACCCAAGGTCACGTTATTGAGGCTGGCACGAGAGAAAACACAGAGTAGCTTCTAGTATCCATCCCCTTTCACCAAGTCACGTACAAGTCAGTTTTGCTGCTGCTCTCCAGCCAGCCCACTTGCAGTTTCCAAGAGCTCTAACCCACTCTTACCTAGTTTAACTTCTGCATTTTCCGTCAGCAATACATTCTGTCCCTTGATGTCTCGATGAATTACTTTGTGCTGGTGTAGATGACTCAAGCCCTAGAGAATTCAGAGAAAGGTTAGAGGAATCCAAGTTCAAAGCATGTTATTTTCTGACATTCTTCCTCAACCAATTACGCTCCAGAAATGAAAGATTCACAGTTGGAGTTAAGCACTTGAGAATGCTTTTGTTTATCGTGTGTTCAAAATACTGTCCTATGTCACACGCTGGGAGGACATGCCCGGCAAGCGAGACGCCCACCGATGGGCTGTATGTGTCACAGTGGGTGCTCTCCATTGCAGGAGAACCGTCAATTCTATAGGGATTAAAACCAACCTTTCAGTTTCTGCAGGAACCCATATTAACCAAATTCCTCCATAGCTCTAGACATATTTTCCCCCATGTGCTCCCTTGCCTTAGGGAGCCATTTTTGTGGCAGAAATAATAGAATGGTTTTGTCTCCTTTCTGTATTTCCACTATCCAGAAACTGAAGAAAACAATTCTCTTGTTATATCGGTCCAATAAACTGGACTTCAATAGACTGAAAAGCTTGTATTAAAAAAGCTACCATGCAAATACAAATGTTATAACTTGCACATACCCCTAATAGAGACATAGCTCAAATTAAAAGCCTGTCTCAAAGGCTAAAGGTAAACTAGCTTTTCTGTTGTGCTTTTTTATTAGCTCATTAATTTCTTTTTGCAACCTACATTTTTATTTCATTCATTTATTATTTCAGCTTCAAAGTAACATCCACCTATATCGCCAGCTTAAAAAATATGGACTACTTCAAAAACTAATTTTGTATTAGGTTTACATTTCACATTAAACATTCATATTTGAGGAAGAAAATAATTTCTGCTATCACTGCTGGTAGTTATTAGTCATTTTACGCTCGTTACCTTTGGACACCACCATGGAATAGGTTCTATCTGTACGGCAGCCCTTTTTTAGCCGTGTTATACCTGGTTAGAGGCACCTTTGTGCACCGGAGGCAAAGCAAAAATTTCACTGAATTTCAATAAACCCTTTAACGATGTGCCTCCTGTTAGAATTACAACTGGCTATCAACTTCTGAACCAAGACTAAGCCACCTTCTGCAGCACAAAGGTGGGAGCCTTTCACCACCTGAAACCCCACGGAGGTCACCAACCAACCGCCTCAACGCGCGGCCAAAATGCAAGCGATGACACGCGACGGTGGCCCTGGGACATGAGTCAGTGGCTGGGTTCTGACTCACTGCCAGGGACTATTTTAAGAAGTAGGCTCACAGAGCTCATACATTTAAAATAAGCCCATGTAACTGTGGTTTCCTGGCACTGAAAGCAGTGTCCGTACAACAACGGATTAGCTAGAGCACCAGTATCTTCTGCACATCGTGTTGGTGCGGACCGTGGCGTGCGGGGTCAACAGAGAAGTGCTGTGTCACCTCTGGACACCAGCGGCAGCCTCAGCAGCAGTGTCAGACACCTTTTCAGAGTAGTCATTCTGCCTCATTTTCTTTCACAGAATCATAGAATCATTTAGGTTGGAAAAGTCCTTTAAGATCGAGTCCGACTGTTAACCTAGCACTGCCAAGTCCACCACTAAACCATGTCCCTAAGCACCACATCTCCATGTCTTTTAAACACCTGCAGGGATGGTGACTCAACCACTTCCCTGCGCAGCCTGTTCCAATGCTTGATAACCCTTTTGGTGAAGAAATTTTTCCTAATATCCAATCTAAACCTTCCCTGGTGCAACTTGAGGCCATTTCCTCTTGTCCTGTCACTTGAATGGCTCTTCTACAGGTTTCCTTCCCATGCCCAGTATTTCTGTTTTCTCCTGAACAAAACCTTGGTTCAAGGAGTGATAAGATTTTAATGTCGGGCAACCATGACAATCACATCATCTGACCTCAGCTGTGCAAAATGTAAGCAAGCCTTTGCTGAAGCTGGCATCTCCCAGTACGTGAAACTCTGGCATGGCCCAATTTAAGACGTTCCAGTCAAACATTTGTCTTGTGGGTATAAAAGCTGCAGCATCCTCATTAAAGCCAGAGACGTGTGGATTTATAAAACGCCGGGTGCTTTTTAATCACAAAGATTCTTTCCACAGACTTTATTAGTCCTCACCTTTCTGTTAATTGAAAATGTAATTCTAATGTAAATAAATCTTTGCCCTATTAATACTGAAGGAAATTATATTTTTGTTGAAGGAAAAAGAGCATTAAAAGTCAGGGAACTAACAGAGCTAAAGGGCATTAAACAGGGCTTATTTATTATGCATCATACAAGCACATGAATCATTCATGCCTAACGGCACCAAAGAGGCTCCAGCCCATGGCAGCACGGCAGCCACGAAGCCTGCAGAGCCAAAGCCTTTCCGTGTCCCCTGAGCACCCAGTGTGACACTCCAACAACCCCCGACATTTAGGTCCCTCTGGACACGTACCCGTAAAATCTCTCTGCAGATGTAGGCGATCCACTCCTCCTTCAAAGTGTTCCCCTTCGTGTTCTTGATGAGGTCGGTGACGGAGCCCGCGCCGCAGAACTCCATCACCAGCTGCCAAATGGAACAAAAATGCAATTACTGCAGCAACACCGACAGCATCCTCTGGGCTGCCCGATCCCAGGGCAGGACCCCAATTTTGGCAACGCAGCGCTACACAGAGCCACCGGGACATAATCTCGAACCTATCAGCTTGTAATCCATACGGTTTTTATTATAAAAATGAAATGGTAAAAGGCTGGAAGGCTTGAGAGGCTTGGTGCTCTCCAGAGGGTTGGGAACAAGAAACAGGAATCAGTCTGGCGCTGAAAATCAGCAGAGGAATTGGAAACCTTGAAATCTCAGACATCACCACTACATAACCTACTTTATACTTATGATCAATGTTTAGTATCAACAGCAATACAAACAAAACTCTACTTCTTGCATATAAGTTCTTCAACTCTGAAAATGTGAAGGCAACAAGACAGATGTTTGAAGGCTTCCTACAACCTTAGAAACCAGGTATGCTTTCCAACCTTTTTTTTTTTTTTTTACCAGAAGGTCTTTGGTTTTGATCACTTTTGAGCAGAAAACCTTCCTTGAGGGGAAGCTTGCCATGCAGCTTCAGGCTCTCCGGGAAAGAGCCGGTGTCCTGGTGCTCAGGTTGGTTCAAATGAGATGGCACCACTGCTTGTACCACTTCCAGAGTTTCATAATATCAAATATAGAAGTACAATGATCTAACCCAGGCCCAAACTTGAACTTGTCATTGAGCAACTGCGAAATAAACCTTATAAAAATAGCACGGGACGTACATCTGCCTCCCAGGGACATCATGGATCCCCAGGGCGTGGAGAAGCCGTCGGTGTGCTCCAGAAAGCGAGCACAGCCCGCGTACGCAACAAGCCTCCTCCGAGACCTCTGCAAGTGTTTCTCTCAGATGTGAAACCATGTCTTCCAGTTAGATCAGCTTGCTATTAAAAGAAATTCCCTTACAAGTCATGCCTTGCCGGATTCTTCAATGCGCACGTTTAAAGTTTCTTATCACATGAAGCTTACATTGCATTTAAGGTTCTCCAAGCAAGTGACATCACTTTGTTAAAAGCATAGGCCAAGAGAAGAAGAGAAAGAAACTGCAAAAGGGTTACTCCTAATGAAATTGCTCAAATGCAGTGATTTAAGAGACTATAATAAATAAAGGATCATAAAGTCCAGACACAGTACTGCTATAAACCTTCAGGTTAAATAAAATACTTGAGCAGACTGTACCTTAGTTGGCTTTGACCATGCTCCTATCTTTAGTTTTGATATTAAGTTTCTCTTCTCCTCAACTGACAGCTGAAAAATTCTTTGTATATGCCTCTTAGGTCAGGAAACTGGCTTCAAGAAATAGACGCGTGACCAGCCAAAGTCTGCCCTGTGCAAAGGCAAGGAACGCTGCTGCGGCGCTTACAGCTCTTCCACCCCAGCAGGAGACCAGCAATCCAGCTGGGTCACTGGGACACGGCCTCAGTCGTGGGTTACTCATTGCTCACTGAATGGGGAATAACGGAACAACTGGTTTCAAAGTCGCTTTTGCTCTCTTTCTTCCCTTTGAACGATTGACACGTGGGGAATATCTGTGTCTGCACATGTTTCTGATTAAATGAACGTTTGGGATACCAGGCCAGCAAGCTCAGAAAGGAAAACCCTGGATAGCTGAGCCAGCCACAAACACTTTCCAACCCCAAAGGCTGCCCTCTCCGGTCCCCTTCCATGGATATTCATCCACAGGCTCTCACCAGGGTTTGGAGCAGGAGGAAGAGGAAGGGCATGCTATACTATGTACAGCAATCACAACGCTTAAAGGAAGACAGAAAAAATCCCATTAAAAGTACACAGTGCATCCATTAATTTGCCAGATTATCTTTATGGAGCTGGCAGTTCACTCAGTCCTCTACCCTGTCCTTGATTTCCACAGAGCAAAGATTAATTTTGCACCAGGAGGTGAATAATACGGCCACCTGCTGATGTATCCCTAGTCTGCAATTGTGAAATCTCCTGGAGATTAAAGAAAAAAAATAAAAACAGAGAAAGGGAAAGAGAAACTCCCAGTGGGAGTGTTTCCAACTCGGCTTTTTAAGAGCTGCACACTCCCGTAACATCCATAGGAAAATATCCAGCACCGGCCGATCTCTGGCAGTACCAGCAGGCTCCAGGTCCAGTTGGGCAGGGGCCAAGGGGGCTCAGCAGTGTGCACGTGTTGCTAACAGCAAGGCACTTCCCGAAAGCCCTGCCACGAGTTCTCCAAGAAAACAGACAGCGGAAAGATGACGAGGCTGCCCGAGTATCCCCACCTGCTGATGGGACACCCTACGTGAAAAAACACCGTTTCCAGAAGGTTTGGATGGAACGGGAGGAAAGCTGGCTGCCGCGGCGCTTAGCGGCACCGTGATCCCCTCATGCTTTTATAGTTTCCTTTGCTCCTCAGATGGAAGGATGCTACAGAAGTCCCAACTACAACTCACAGACTTCCAAAGAGAGGAAACACAGATGATGGCTAAGGAGTCACACCAACAGGCCAAGTGAGACTTCACCCACCACACTGTGTGTCCTGCCGGGCGATGGAGCCCAAGAATGATAAATGCACACTGGAGCAGGTCCAGGAAGATGATCGGGTCTTCTCAGAGCACCTGAGGACTTGTTCGGGCAGCCAGGGGATGGATGGCTATGGGATATGAGTGTATACTGTCAACAGTAGGGACAGGGAAGCACCAGACAAGGAGAAGAACAAGGTAGATACTGGCATAATATCAATATGTCAACAACCTATGGGTATATTTAGGTTGGAAACCAACAAACAGCCTTCCAGGAGAGAAGAAAAGGCATCAAAAGTTCCAGCTGATTTTAGGGCAGAGCTTAGTATAGTCAGGGAAGGCTTCAAATGGCACTTACACTTTCTTACCAGTCCCACATCTCTAGGTGAGTGCTTTGCCCTGCACACACTTGCATCATTACCAATCTTGTTAAAGGATGAAGTCATGATGGGGGAAGACAATAAACTTGAAATGCAGATTGAATTTTTATTAACCATAATTAAAATTATCATCAAGATGGGCTAAAGGTAAGATCATCTTCTGAAATTTAATTTGCAAGGCCACTTACTGAGGAAGTATTTTTAAATACAGTTCATTTAGCATTTACTTAGCTCTTCATATCAGAGTGACAGCAAACTTCATAAGCAAGGCAAATTCAGAAGCAGCAGCTGTAAATCTCTGTCCTGCTGTCTCACAAATTTTTTGTTTTAAGAGCCCTCGCAGCTTTCAAATCAACTACCACCTTCCCCAGTTTGGCAATGGCCAGTAAGACCTCTGTTCCCATTGCCGCTGTACATTACCTGGAAGGGCTCAAACCTGAGCATCCCCAGTACAGAAACCCCAATCCAGCTGACGGTGAATCGCTCCAACTTGTCCAGAGCAACCCTGCCAAACCATCCAACTCCTTTATTCTGCAAGCCAAACCCTTCTGTGTTCCTATTCGTCACCTCACAAACAATTTGACTTCTCTTTTACAGAAAGCAAGCACACAACACCCCCAGGCTAAAGTCTCCTGGAAATCCTTCCTCCTGCTGTGTGTGTAAACAGAACCCAGGTGCGATGCAGTCCCCTGCGCCCAGGCCACGCAAACCTCCCATCCCACCCCACCGCCTGGCTCCCTCACAAAAGGGTCCCTCAACACACACATCACGGCACCTGGAGCCAGCGACGGAGCATTAAAAAATGCAGGGACCGTCACTTGGTGGATCAGCAGAAAAGCCGATGCCCATTTCAGAAACAGAAATAGCCATCGAACTGGTACTAAGCAGCAACTAAAATATTCCGTAGGAAGATAAGCACAGGTTTTGATTGCCTGTGTCGGTGCTACAGCGGGAGCAGGCTGCGATGCTGCAGCGGGATGCCTGGGTGGGAGCAGCGGGGCCAGCGCTGCGCTGCTCTCCCCTCTTCGACGGCAGCACCAAACCGCTCTTGCACACCTTCATAAATAAATGACTTGCCTGGCTGCGCCCTGCCTGCACCTCCCTGCGCTTGGAGGCCGGTCAAGCAATTTGTGCCCCTCAGGGAGCTGGCGGGCAGCTGCTGCCACGGGTCCTGAGCAGGCTGAAAGCTTTGGGCTTAGGGATGGCAGCGAAAGGAGCTGGGCTCACAGTCCTGTGGTGTTTACGGCACTGACATCGCTTTGAAGAGGAGTGAAACAACATTGGCTTACTCAGCCAGACAGCAGCAGAAAGCCTCTCTGCTAACCCCAGGGTCTTGGTCGGGGACCGGAGGAGCAGCCTTGTTCCCCCCACACCTCCCCGGGACTGTAGGGCTTGGAGGGACTGGAGAGAATTACAGCTCAACTGAAAACTGTCCCCTCTCAAACGTTTAATGATTTAATTCCTGGGATGCAAGGTATCAGCAACTGCCCAAAAATATTCTTCAGTGCCTATAAGCAGATTAAGAGCGATCCTGCTCCGAGCTGCAGAGGTGCAACCCAGTGCTTTGATGGCTTCTGCTCCATTTTCAATGGAGCCTCACTGCCCCCATTTTTGCTCTCCAGAGTCCCGGTGTGACTCTGTCCGTACCACCCTGCAGCGATTCAATGGGCCCCTACAGCTCGACACGGTGAAAAAGCGCATTGCAACTACGCGGTGACAGCCCTGAGCATTGCACGGCTGCAGCGGTGCCATCCTGACTTAAGCCTCTGGCTCTAAATCACCCTAAATCCTTCTTCCCCCAAAAAACTGCCCCGGATTACCCGCTGCAGAGGACGCACCGGAGGCCGCCCGGCCATGCTCGCCGTGAGCAGGTATTTGACAACCTGCCCGTTAGCAATTTTTCCCCTTCTCCGTGACAGATGCAGCTCCGGGTGCAGGCAGGGTTGCCATGGCAGCCATCCATCGGCAGCCAGCGCTGGTCCCCAGGGACCGTGCCGGGTGGGATCCGTCCTGGGTGGGCTCCGTCCTGGGTGGGCTCTGTCCTGGGTTGCTGCCAGCCACCGCTCAGCCCCCTCCGCAACCCCCCCCTCTCGTCCGCCCGTGCGTGGCAGTGCTTCTCCGTTCGTGGTTTCAGCGCACCGTGGATGGCCAGGGTAGATGACAAAACATCAGCGGAGTGGCACTCCTATTGCCCCACGGATCTATATAGTGTGTTAGCGTTTTGGAAAGCAGCAGAGAGCCTGCAGCTTCCAGCAGCCGTCGGGGCGGGCAATGTGCTGGGGAGGGGGGGGCTTTCAGGATGGGGTCACCTCCCCCATCAAATTCATACTTCCTAATGAATGCCCCATCTCCCATCACCAAAAAAACTCCCCCAAAATATCTCAAAACAATCCCTCTGGGTTATTATGTGCAGTCTGGTAAGGCATACCGTAGAGCTGAGATGAGCAAGGGGAATTTAACGAGTTTAACTCTGAGAAGCAGCAGTTAACTGATTAACTGGGTCCTCACCGTCCACTGGGTCATTTCCCCAGTTTCTGCAGCTCACCGTCTCTTCACCCCCTTGCATCACAGCCAGGACCCCCTTGTGTCAGTTAGAGACAGGCACAATCCCTCCCGAAGGTCCAGAGCACCCCCAGAAAGCAACACTTTATCCAACATAGGAATAAACCTACCTCCTATGTTTTGAATTTTTTTAAAATGTTCCATAAAGATTGGCCCTATGCCTTTTACTTCCTTTTTTTCCTAATGTATCAGATTTGTGATGCACATCTCCATTGCCATCTGCTAAAATATCCTCTATGCAGCTCTTTAATTTCAGGAAAACTTGGTTGTTTAGTAAGCTCGTCTTTCAGGGCGAGTGGCTGCTATCGAATGGAGCAGCAGCACCGAAAAACCTGCTCATCACCACGGCAGAAGCAATGACAATACTTCATGTCAGAAGCCTGCCGCGCTTCCGAGAGATCTTAATCTCCACTGAAAGAGCTCCCTGTTTTTTATTTCCGTATCAGCCTCCTGAACGTCGATAAAAAAGAATTACTTGGGCATTATCAGAAACCGTTTTATTTCAACAAAGGGCCAATGAAAAATAAACAAGCCTTTATCTGTGCGGCAAGACTGATAGAGTTCACGCAAGTCCTAATTCAATCAGATCCTGAAACAACAGCTATTTAACACAGCGACACCAGTACACCTCTCCTCCATGGCCGGGGAACTTTCCCATGAATACCTCCACCAGCCTCAGCACTAGGATTAGACTTAAAAAAACCTCACACCCCAGCACTCTTCAGTGCAAGAAAAGCAGCTTTTGCAAAAATTTTTTTCACTAGCCCATGAGAAAGGCCGCAAAATTGAGAGGAGAGATAGCGGTCTGGAGGGGAATTTAGATTATCTAGTCTACCTTTCCCAGCGGGCAAGAGACAAGCAGCACAACTGGGTGATGAACACCTTCTCCCCTTGCACGGCTGGGTGACCCGCTGGGGAAAACCCAGGTTCCCCTCCTGACTTTGGGCATCTGAAGGTGATGCAGCACGTACAGCATCCTCTGCCATTTCATGATGATGGGGACTGATGAAAGAGCCTCTCTTAATCCACGAGTTTTCCAATGAGGGGTTTGTTTGGTTTTTTTTGGAAGTTTGGGCTGCTCTGGATGGGCAAATCATTTAAACCCCATTATTTTATTAACGCTTGTATATGCCAAGAGCTCTTTGCAGTGGAGCTGGAGGAAAGAAGAAAAACAAACCCTCTCCCCTGGTCAGCCCGTGCTAACCCCAGACCCAAGCAGCATAAAGGCACTGAGCAGAGCCCAGCTCCAGGGAAGGCTTCTCTCACTATTGAGGGCTTTGTCACAGAGTTGGTGGGGTGTTTTTCTCCCCAGGTACTCCAGCAGCACAAGGGGAAATGTTGTGGGTTGGTTTTCTATTTTACTTTTTTTTTTTAAACAGATTATAAACCAGCTAAATCCGAACGGAATTTCATGGGACGTCAAGGCATTTCTCAGCTTGACAGCTTTCTCCTCGCTGAATCCCAGGCCAGCTGCTAAGAACATGTTTTTTAAGAGTTCCTATCAAAAATAACCCCAACACCCAAGTAAGAAAAGCCCCTGGAGTCCAAGCCCCCAAGTCTTCCCAATAATTCAGTGTATCGGAGAGTCTCGGGTAACAAAGCAGTGCAGAAGCCCATCAGCTCCATTTCTGTCCCAGGTGACAAGGAGGAATGTCCTCCAAACCCCCCCTGGTTCCCACAGCCATGCTCTGGCATGCAGGCGCAGGGGCAAGCAGCTGAAGCCACTGAACCTTTTGCGAAAACAAAGCCTAGATTATACAGAAACTAAAGGAAAGAGCACTCTGCTGCTCTCCAGTATCTCCATGGTCTCCCAGATGAACCACGGATATTTGTTACCCCTGAAAAACAAGGCTTTAGCAATCTTGTTCAGGCACAGAAAAACTTTGGAAACTACCCATGGATAACCCAGAACTGACTGGATTTACAAGACTGTAGGGAAAAAAAATGCTATTTAGACTACAGAACAACATCCAGGTCGTTATATTTAAGGTAACTCAAAAGTAGCCTTCCCTTCAATGCTGCCCTAACGAAAGCAAGGTGTCAAACTGCTGGTCAGACGCCCACGGGTGCTGCAGGCTGTTGCTCCACAGCACAGCCAAGCTCAGAATACAGCACAGTAACTCTAATTAATTTTTCATCCCCCTTAGGGCAGCGCCCGGAGCCCCGACCTTCGGTGCCTGCTGCCCTGCCTGGCCCCCGCGAGCACCGGCCGCCAGTGAGGAGGTGGTCTCCGATGCTCCGGCTGTCTCCGGAGATAGACGGTGGATTTAAATTGTATTCTCCGCCATCCGGGAATGCCGAATTAATAACCGAGAAGCCACTGACAAAAGAAGCAGCGGGAGGAGGCAGGCAAGGATTTATGGAGAGGCAAAGCAGCTTGCAGCCCTTCAGCAACATGAGGCATCTTCACCGAAATGGCTGATCAGCCACAGACCTTCCTGCCCTCCCTTCGCCGTCCCCCTCCTCTTCATTCGCCTGCACTGGCTCCGTGAAACATTAAGCACGAGAAGCAGTGCCGAGAGCTGGCAGGAATCACGTGCGCCCAGCATCCCCCCTCCAGCCTCCATCTTCCCAGCAACGCTCCGGGCTCCCTCCAACTGTTTTTTTGGATGCATTTATTTTCATAGGACAGAATCATTTTCAATTGAATATTGTAACAAAGATGTTGTTAGTGACAATTCAGAATAAAAATGTTTTTATCACCAGCCTGCAAAGATTTTATGGCAGAATGGAGAAGCATTTTGCAGTGCAGGAAGAGCCTTTTCAAAGCCATGACTTTGAAAAAGACGGATGCAAAATAAGGCTTTTTGTGCAGTACAGGTCATGGTAAAAGGACAACACGGAGTAAATAATTTGTGTTAAAACCCAGTTATTTTAAAGAAAAGAAAACAACTTACCCAGAGCTGATCATCCATTCCTGGTGGGTTCTTTTTAATAAAAGCACCATAATAAGTAGCGATATTTCGGTGGTGAGAATACTTCTTCAGCATGTTAATTTCTTGTTTGATCTCTTCCTCTTCATCCTGGGATGAGGCAAAAAGAAAAGAAAAACAAAACCAGAGGCACTAAGAGACTGCACTTCACAGGCTCGCAGTTCTCTTTATATGTGGGTGAACTTCTAAGCACCCCATTTCTGACTGACCTCTCCCAAGTTTCCTTGCACCCTTTTTTACAGCCACTTTTTGCAGCAGAGCCCTGGGAGCCTGACGCCTGGACTGGACACTAATGGGTTGCTCCTTGAACAAAAAGCTAAGGAGAAAACACATGCTTTGCCACATCCCCTGTTGCATTTCTGAACCCTGAACCGGACAGATCTTCAGGCAGTGTGGAAATCTGGCCATTCCCAAACAGTTCAGATCATGGCATCTCCTCCAGAACAGGATCCCAAAGGTGCTGGCAGAGTTTAAGGCATGCAGCAGTCCTCTCGCGTGGGTTAATGACCCACCATCCCCGTGTGCCACTTCAAACCCTGCAGCTCAGGTGGGAGCAGAGAGCTCCGGGAAGCTCCCGAGCATCTGAATATCTGCAGGCGTAAGTACCCGTTGGCCAAGCAAAGGAACTGCTGGCCAGGAATTGGGCACCCGCAGGGGGGCTTGTTCTCCACCCAGAGGTGCACCAGTGCCAGACTTTGGCATCACAGACAAATGACATGTTTTCAGCAGTTTAGACATTCCTCCATCTTTTTAAACTCATTCCTTTATAATTCGTATCATAATTTATATCAGCATCGCGTTGCTCTGAAGCTCAACTACGCTTGCGTTACCCCAGGAAGGCATCAGCACACCCTCCTACACCCATCAAGGGTCCAAGACGATGGTTTTCTAGAAATCATTGCACGGCAGAAGCGCTCCTGCGCTGTGCATCCCAGCCATCCGACACACTGCTCCTGCCCACCCTGGAAGCAGCACAAGACCTTACGGGACACCAGTTGGGACTGGTGGTGCGGTGGCACCACGCTGGGAGCAGGCAGACGCTGTCTGTCCACAAACTCTCTGCCGGACTAACTCGGTCCTGGTGACAAGCACCATTCCCGTGGGCTGTCGCGGCCCCTCTCTGTCCTGTCTGCAAAGCAGCAATAGCTGAAGCGGCCGAGGCAAGGGAACTGCACCGATGCCTGTTTTCATGTCCTACCTCTTTGCTTTCATGACCATCAAACATGCCCTGGTTTTATTTTAAGCTGACCGAATTCCAGCCTGCTGTAATTCCACAGGCTGTGGAGCAGCAGTTAGTGACCTGATGTCGATGAGCTTTATTATAAAAGGACCAGAAGGGCGGTTAGTTCTTTATTCTTCTTTATTACCCTCGTGTCCCTCACCTGCTTCACCCTGACTTCAGTTTTGCAAATGGGCAAAGGACAAGACACCCCGGTGAACAGCAAAGCTGCAGGGGCAGCTCTTCTTGAAGAGTGATGCTCCCTGACCAGGTGTCACACAACGCGGACAGAAACGTGGCTTTCTTCCCAAACTGCCACAGAAAGTGATTTAATGACTACAGTCTTCCAGAGAGAATTCAGGGAAGAACAGTGAAGATGAGGACAGCAGGAACAAATAAAAGAAGTAGCTAGGTGGAGCTTGTATAAACAACCTCCAGTTTTATCTTTGGTAAGAACACGGAGAGTATAAGCACCAAAGAGGAGGAGGAATGGGCCCAAACATTACAAGGAAAACCTGGGGACTATTCTGGAAGACTTTTATCACCTCTTTCCTTCAAGCAGTCAACACAACTTCGCTTGTTTTCATTTGCCTAGGAAACCAGGGACATTTAATTTATCAGGCCCCAGAGATTTTTTTTTTTTTTTATTGAGGCCCTTTGCAACAGAAAAAGCAGCTGGATGCTCAACGGTGCTGGGAGCAAGGAGGAGCGGTCAGTGCAAAACCCCACCAGCTCCCTGAGTACCACTAGCCAGCTCTTCAGTCGTCCTCCACCTCACGCCTGGCTTTCTAGGAAAAATGGAGATAGGCCACAGGGACACTTGGCCTAAGGTTTTATCTTGAGTCCCTCTTTAGGTTGAAGTATTCAAAACCAGGGGAAAAAAAACCCCAAAGCATCAGAGGTGTGGATGGCACCCGAGGACATGTCTGCACAGCCAGGCTCAGGAGTCCCCAGCCCAACCTCCTGCTCCAAGCAGGACTACTGCCAGCTATCACCACCAGCAAATCCAGCGAGGGAGGGAAGAAAAAGGAATTATCATAGCGAGCTGCTGTAACTAGTCCAACCCCAAACCCGACAAAACCCACAGACCGGGTTTTGCTGCCACGCTTTGCCCCCATCAATCAATTCTGTTACATCAATTGCTGGAAGTAGGTCATGCAGCATACAGCAGGACCAGCCCCGGGAAAAAGAATCCAAATTCTTAATTCAGAGACAGCGGCTGCCCAAACTGATCAAGTGCTGTAATTTGAGGGCCTCTATGCTGCAATCTTCCCTAACAGATAATTAGCAAGAGCGTAGATGAGTTAGACGAAGCATTGTCGTGAGGAGCCTTTGGGGGTTTAGTGCAAGGCACATGGTCGGGATGAGGCACTGTCTGAGAGCTGACTTAAAACATGTGGGCTTTACACTCCGAAAGCTTCATGAAATTGCAGATGGCTACAGTTGGGATGATCACACTAGTTCCGTTCTCTGCAGGCTTCTGAAAGACACGTTGTCATCAGGGACTTGGTGACTACGGGCTGGTGGCATCCCTTCAGAGGACACAGAGGTCTCTCACCTCTGCGCCTCTGCTGATCCCGCTACCGCTGCCAGAGAGCTACTTCTCCACTCATGCAATATTGGGGTCACCCAAGGCTGGGAAGCCACCACACAGGGTATCCAGTGCGGTAGAAGAAGTAGAAGAGAGCAGAAGTTCAGCTAGGGCGTTTTTTAAGAGGACCGACTTTAATAGTTTGCGCATTATGTATTAAAAGAGAAATAGCTGACATGTTTTAATATGGCTAAAAGCAGCTTAAGGGGAAAATAATTAAACACCCAAACAACACACCCCATGCCAAATATCTCATTTACTACCTTGGACGTTCAGAGACGTGAGACTCTGCTTTGGAAGGTAATGGTTTAGATCGGGGACATCTACTTAAAGACACGACTGAAAATATCAGTTATTGGGTAGGATAAGATTTGGGCTACTTTGCTCCAACATCTTTGCTTGGAAGTAATGGTATTTTAAAACCACCAAACTAAGTGTGGTCTCAAATTTAAGCCCCTGTTTGGCCTCAAAGTAATATTCTGATTTCTCAGCTTAAATTTGTTGTAACTTCAGACTTCATCCCACGGGAATTTCATTGCTATTTATGTCATGGGGTTATATTTGGTGGGTCTGCCCATTCCCTTAGAGCCTGCTTCCCACAAGAACTAGATAAATGGCACTTGCAGATATTGCAAGTAAACAGAAGCAAATCTCATTCACATTTACGGACTTATTTCCACGCATCATTTCACCTGATAGCAGAAAAAAGAACCTGGATGAAGGTCCTGTAGATATTAATACCACACCACAACATCTAAGGTATTTCAAAACATAATCCTGAGGCCAGCTGACTGCTTTCACAGTGAGTCAATTCTGTATGTGCTGAACTCCTGAAAGCTAATTAAAAACATTAATTCAAAAAATAAGGTGGGTAGATTGGGATCGAGTCCTAAATTTTGAAATGTGCTATTCCAGTTATAAAATGACAAAACACAACAAAACACATTCTTACTCGCAAACCTGGCATTGTTTATGTAGGCAGGAACTTTGGGAGATATAATACTGCACTTACTTAAAAAAAAAAATTATTCAAGAAAAACCACTTTCATGTCACCCTCCTAAATGCATGTTTAGGTTTTTAGGGATCATAGCAATTCCACTCGTTTTTTCTTTTGTGGCCAGTGGGAAATGGTGAAACCATTCTTTCCCTAAATCCTTTTTATTAATTTAATAACTTGTAAATTCTTGGTTCTCTTAGTCTGATACAAGTTTCAAAAGAGACATGTTTCTGAGACCATGGTTGTGCATTTTTTCCTCTTTATCAGTAGGATGCACAGGCATAATTTAACTTGTCTAGTAAAGTCATTCATAACAATACCTGCACGTAGTTTTGGTGAACAAAAGCTTTTTGGTAAAAAACATGGATTTGGAGAAACTGAAATGTGTTATGAATACATGATCCTGTTGCTACAGTTTTGTTCAGATTTTATTAATGCATTCAAAAGAGCCACTGCTGGAACTGGATGCTGCTTTGTTTTAGCATAAAATTACTTAATCTCCAAAACTCTTCCAGAATATCTTTTTCTCACACATTTATTAAACCCAAAATCTCTTAATGGCACATTTCACATTAAGGCAAAGGGGATTTGCCTCCCAGGAACACAAGCCTTCCACCAAGCCCCACACGTTATCACACCCCATCCCCTTTCCCCTCTTATCTGGAATTTAAGGATGCAGGAGGAGGAGGATACATTACCCCGGTGACGTCCATAACCTTAATCGCAGCAAGCTGGCCTGTTTTAACATGACGACCCTGCAAAAGAAAAGGGAGAAGTTTGTTTGGTTTTGCTCGGTGGCAATGTTTTCCTCGCGGTGAACAACATCCTTAAACAATCTCCTTGTCCTGGCAGCATCTGCACTTTTTTTTTTTTGCTTTTTCAAGAGCATCTTCACAGCAGCCATGATGGGAAAGCAATTCCCTCCCATTCCTCCTGCCATTACAATTAATTAGTAAAGGGCCTTCAATGCTGTATTTTCCTGGCAAACAAGTGCTGGAAATATCCTTTAATGCTCAGCCATGCAAAAAAAACCAGCTCGGGGCCTCTCCTGAGCACGGAGCATGACTCGGCTGGAAGTGGTCTGCTGGAGCTGCAATGATGGAAACGTGCTGGCTGGGGTACCCACACGGCACTGACTTCGGTCCCCTCGTGGCCGAGCCCCGGCTCTCACGGACCTGGGGACACACCAGCAACTCCTAGCCTGCAGGGCACCATTATACGCTCTGTCCACTAATTTATTTATTGTGCAAAAACCTCGGTTAGCAGGCTAGAGAGGTTTTTTAAAATCAGATTTGCTTCTTGGCTGTGGAAGTGACCCTATCTTCAGCACTGGCACAAGCAGGGAGTGTGCATCTAGAGGAGATGCTCAAGAACCAGGGCAGAAAGAGAAACCTCTCGACGCATACGGTCTCTTTGGTTTTCAGTGGTTGAAAAATCAGCAAATCACTGCAATGAACTGCTCATTGCAGAGTGCTCGACTACATTAATCCTAATGGAAAAATGCCTGGAAGCAATGGGGAAAACTGTAAGAGCCCAAACTGTTGATGGGGTCTTAAAATCAACACAACTGCTATCAAGCAAGCCATTTCCCGGCCTTTCCTCCTCTGCCGAGAAATGGATCACGCAACATCGTACCAAAATTGCTCATACCAAATCATTCCCCCCTCTCCATTTGAGGGCATGCGCTCTGCTTACAAACCAGGCAGAGTCAGAGAAAAAAGATGCTGCTTCTCCAGGAAAACCAGCAGGTGCCGATCCCAGCAGGCAAGCTGGGAGGCAAAGGGAAGCATCCCTATTTCCCAGTCACTTCTTACTATGGGAGCAGCCCAAGGCCCCATCACACGAGATACGGCATGGAGGACACACAGGGAACGGCAGCTCCTGCCCTGCAGCATTGATAATTAACGCATCAAGGACACAACGAGGAGCAGAGGCTGAGAGGGGTCAAGCTGCAGCACGGGAGAAACAGGGAAAAATACGAGCTTTTCCTTAATTTCAGGCTCCTCCGCACCCCCCCACCAGCGTGTTTGTTGATGAGCTGGGGTTTGTGCCCGGGTTTCCCAGCCCTCATGCAGGTTAGAGATGGTCTTTCACACCATCTCGCCTCCAGCGAGAACCCCAAATTACCAGACATGGGCACCTCTCCCCGGCCCCTCGGGTTTCCAGGCACGGTGCTGGGGAGCGAACCCACGCGCCGGCTGCAGAGCAAGGCGGCATCGTCCTCTCCAAATTTATGACTTCACCAGGAAGCCAATTCACCCACCCGGGCTCCTCGCTCATTTATTAACACAATTTATATGTCCTGAGCAACCGCATGTTCTAACAACGGAAAAAGAGCTTTATTTTAAAATGTGCAACATTCAAAATAAGAAAATAAAATGCAGCCCAGCAGCACCAGGCTGCAGCTGAAGCATCCCCTGGCCGTCGGAAAGGAGGGGCATGTCGCTAGACACCATCTATTTAGAAAGCGTGATCTGCAAAAATGAATCCTCCCCTTCCTAAATTCATCCTTGTTTGCTTGGCCAGGAAGCCCCCCCGCACACCAACTCTTTAATTAAAGCCAGCAGAGCACCAGCAGGGGATGTGCTTGGACACAACCACAGCACACTGCATCCTCCATGAAATGGAGGAGGGAGACGAGGCATTTCAAGCCATGTATTTGCTAGTTATACCCGCCTTCATTTGACATATCACCGCCTCATTTTGTATTTTAACGAAATGCCCCGGTCTTGCTGCGGTGGAGTGCTGCTGCCTACCTCCGATACTGGCCAAGGGGAAAAGGAGCCCTGCACGCCCACACCATCATTCTCGCGGGGATCTGCCACTGTCCCATATACCTCCCAAGTATTTACCGATGGACGTAAGATCTTAATACTGCGTGAACATTTACCAAAACAAAATAAACCGCTTCGAAACGTATGTTAATGTAAGCCATGAGGGATACTTAGTCATGCAAAAATCGGACGAAGTAGAACCAATAAGTATTTAGCCTTGGAACTTCAGAACAAAGATTTGCTTTTCATATAGTTTGCTTGCATCGATGGTTTGTTGAGCTTCATCCCAGCAGATTTCAACCTCCATCCAGGGAAACCAGGCGTTTCCTCACCAGTTAACTGTCCCTTTTAATTGAACATACCTAGTGCTCAGCATTGATACTTGCAGTGAAACCATCATATACAGTTTAGGAAAACCAGTTGATTTTCACCCTACTGCAGGCATTCTTGGGTTTACAATACTGATACAGACAGGTTGGAGAGAGACACTGAGAGCTGAAAGTGATAGATACGAGACAGCAATAAAATTAGCATCTGACCTGCACACATTAAAAGATGTCACGGCAGCAACAAGCCCTGTCGATGGCATTAGCCACCAACCACCTCCTGCACATTGGCCACGCAGCAGTAAGCACCCGTGCCCCTGCAGCCTTTCCAAAGTATCCAGCTGGACCAGGCAGTGGAACCATTTCTGCCAAAGCCAAAGCAAGCTGAAATTGTTAATTAATGCGTGGCGAGCGCTAAATTCTCCAGTGTGCACCCTGAACCGCTGTTAAGGAGCTACAAATGGGGATTGGGGTAGCAAGACCAAGAAAAGCACCAGAAAGCCCCTGTTGCAATATGCTTTTACCTCCTGCGTGTCCTCCACACACCAAAACTTGTTGGCTTTTTCCTTTAAACCCCTGCCAGAGCAGAGGCCTCCACAAGAAAACCACAAAACGACTGAGCCCAGTTCCTGCTCCTGGGGTGGCCTCTGTTTCCCCAACAGCAAAGATGTGAGTCAGAACAGGTAAGACTGCAAGTGCCTACACAGAATTTCAACAGAACTTCTCTGCTTTTTCAGAATTCCTCCTTTTTGGTGCCCCTGTGCTTGGGAGCTCACCCTGGGGATGCTGGAGAGGGTGCAGCTACCCGGAAGCAAAGCCTTCAGGAGGTGAAACCCTTCCAGGATAAAGCAGTCACCTCTGAGCCTTCAGACCACACCAGCAACATCATTTTTGGCGACAGGAGCAAAGGAAGCTGGAGGGGAGCAGCAATCATTGCATCCACCCTTGCCCCCCGCACCCTCCTCACCTCCTGCCTGCTTAATAATCTACGCCAACAGCCCTCGGTCGTCTGTCTGCCTGCGGAAAAGGAGCTGATCTGCTCTTTAGCAATCTGTAACATTCTGTCTTCTTGCCTTCTTTGTCTCCTGGCATTGTTCGGGATTTTTCCGCTTGTTGGTGGCGGGTGAGCCGCTTCCAGCTGCTCGTACATAAGAGCGAGAGATGCAAGAGGACCGGCATCCTCCCAAAGCCCAAGCTGCCACGACATCCCGCCATCCCACCACCAGCCCCATCCTGATGCAGGGCTCAAACTCCTGCATGGCATCACCTTTGCTTTGGACATAAGCACGGATTTACCCACCTCTCCCTCCCCGCTCACGCAGGGCAGCGATTGAACCCCCCAGAAGTTGAAGGAGAGGAAGGAGAAGAGATCTCCAGGATGCACTTTCATCGCCCCATGTTGGCTGTTCACAATAAGCACCGCAAGGTTTGAAGGACCACTGCCAGCATCACCTGGGGTACAGCTCCCGGAGGTCTCAAATATACAAATATCCTCCAACATCTCCCTGCTCCTTTCCCTGAAGCAGGTTTTGCATCTGGCTACGTGATGTCCTGGCTGAACTGCTCCATCTGCTTCCATCTTCATAAATTGGGCACTGTTACAGACACTGTGATGGCTGCGACGGCATAAAACAAATAGGAGGAAATCAGAGATACTAAAGCGTTTTTCCCCTTTCCAGATTTGCTGTCAAGGTTCACTTGGGTATAAACCCACATTTCAGCCTCAAGATTATTGAAGCGTGAACTTCAAAGCTGCCACGGTTTTTAATTAAACATCCATCTGAGCATAAATTCATGCTCCTAATTACTCTCAAAATGTTATATCAACTATCACTAACTTGATAATGTCAAGTATTAAGACTAATTTCTGCGAATGAAGCAGGCACCACAAGTTTTTTCTTCAAAGGTTGTGGTCCTCACACTCCATAAAGCATAATGGACTAGCACACGATGGGAACATTGGTAAACACTTTTCACATCAATTGATGCATTCAGGCATTATATTTACTAAATAAACAAACCCTGGCCTCAATATCAGCCTTTGTACACAAAACCTGCATATCCTGGCCCAAAATTCAAGTCCGCATTTTAAGGACAGAAAGAAGATGATTGATTGTTGCTTTTTAAAATTTTGCTTTCACAAGCCTGGATTTCACCTTTAAGCAAAAACTGCCATTTCTGTACCCAGAAATGTATCCCACCATATTTACTTAACTTCTGCTGTCTGCTCCTATTCATTCAACAAAATACATGACCCACCACCTGCTGCAACCAATGGGACACAACCAGAATTGTCACTCTCTTGAGAAAGGCAGAGCTCCCATTTTCTTCAGCTGAGCAGAACACTGTCTCTTAAACCTCCCAGTCAAGGCACCCAGCCCCCAACCCCCCATGCATACATAATCCCCATAGCAGGCATTTAATGGAGTAACCCTGTTGCATGTCTGATACTTTAAAGCAAAACACTTGGGATCCAGTCATTTTGCAATGCCCTAGTCATGTAACACGTAAATATTAAAACAAGTGGGATTAGGGTGCTCTTGCAAGGCACTGCAGAAATATTGACACGAACAGCCTTGCTGGGACCAGACCACAATACCACCCCTCACTGCTGAGAAAGTATAACCCAAGAAACACTCGTTTCATGCAGAGATC